ATCGTATGCAGGTGATGAAGGTACTTGTATATGCTGCATAAATAAGCAAAGTTGACAATTATAAGATAAGTTAAAATCATCACGTTTTAATAAAGCTTGGTTGTACGATTTTACTATTGACGTCTTTTTCAAGTAAAATACTTTTTATCAAATTATTTTTATTTCTATATAAAACATTTGTATCAGACTCTGTTTAAATTCACTGCTAGGGATATATTTTTCGACATAGAAAATCCATGGCTTTTGGGGGATAAAATAAAAAGAAAATCCTGATTACTTAAATTCAAAAGTACAAAAAAATGCCTTTATACAGGGCCTAGTTAGCTCTCAAGGGAAGTGAAATCAGGGAGAACAGTCAAAAATAAGGTCAGATTATATAAGTGATAAAATATTTCTAAACCAGAAAACTATTAATAGCCATTATTATAAAATATTTAGGATAATATATAAGTGCAGGAAACATATTATTTAGTTTTACCTAGATATCAATTGTAACTGCAATGTAAAGCTGAAGATTCGGAAGAAAAATAATATCCATAAAAAGCCAAAATTATGATTTACTGAGATAGAACCCAGGGTATATTTTCAATTTCATTGTGTTTATTTGTCCACGGGCAATAAAGTCTAAACCACGTCCCTCTTATTTACGGGTACCGTATGACGTGGAGTTATTAATTCAGGTTAATATATGTATACAGAGTTATGGACTATTATAGCTTCATAAAGTGTTCATTGTATGTAAGGTTGTTTAAAATGGATAATTGATCATGTATGCTTTCATAGTCCTGAGTTCATAAATCTTCTGCACAATTGAAGATAGACAGAGCAGAAATATTCACAATTGAAGTTAAATTCTGCACTGTTAGAGAAGAACTACGCCGGATTAAACAGGTGTCAGAATTTAATTAAATATCATAAATTATGAATGAAACATTATACATTTCTTCTGACAGTTACTTCGGTTTTGGACAAAATGTTTATTTTACAGAGGTATTGCTAAGAATGTAGCTTGTCAAAGGTTGATGCAATCTTTTTTTTGGTACAAATCTATCCTAATAGCCTAGATTTCAAGACATTAATAAACGTTTGCATATTTTTGTTTTATTATTAAATTGCACATTTGTTTAATTTCCTTTAGTTCCCGAAGTAGACTTAATTTCATAAATATATGAATAAGAAAAACTTTCCATCACACACACAAAAAACTACTCGTGAGGTGGACAGAGGGCGGGGATTAAAGCAAACCGTTTTTCAAAGAAATATATTTAGATACGTAACCAATTATGTATTTGACTATGATGCAATAAAAAGTAGGAGGGCGTTCATACTTTCTTTTTTTGCATCAAATTTCGATGAAATAACTGTATTTTGGTTAAAAGTTGGGTGGGGTGAGTGGTAATAGCACCGGCCACCCCCATTTGATATTGTATCTGCTTTTAAATTATTTCTAACTTAACAAAATAATTCGATGTGTAGTAATGATGAATAATCTCTTCAATGTTCAAGGAGACACTTGAAATAAAAAAGAGGTAAATCTATGCTTGAAGCATTTTAAGTTAGGAAATATTCATCAAATATAACAAACACACACCAAAGAGCCATCACTCCTACTAAAATTTTGTCATCAAATTAAATGGGTTATTCACCACAGGCTACATGTACTGGCCAAAACCAACAAATAATTATGAGGATTAATTGATATGCCAGTAAACAAGTTTTCATGTAGTGTTTATAAACATTTATTTCTATATTTGCCAAAGGAGTGAAATCGGCTTATTTGTATTCATACAATTAGTTATAAAAATAACAATAACACGATTCTATATTGTTTGTTCGCTACGAACTATTCATTGCATTTTACAGTAAACATAATTTTAGCAAGATTTATTTTATTTTTAATACAAAACATTTATTTTCTTTTTAAGAACCCTCACTTGAATATCTTTTTATATTTTAATATTTTTTTAATAAAGACATGTTTTAGCACATTTGTATTAATATAATGTTATAAATGTACGATTTACTAGTATAAAAACAGCAGATGTATTCTTTTAGTTTTTCTAAGTGAATTTTCGATCACATTGTCATTGTCATTGTCGTGGGTCTGCTTTTTTTTTTTTTTTTTTTAAATATTCCCAACAACCAAACACAAATTTCAATTAGCAAATCTATATTGGATTCCTAAACTTCATAAAAAATTCTTACAAATGATGATATATATTGAGTTTCAGTAAATGTTCTATCAAGCCTCTTTCGTTACTCCTCACTGAAATACATGTAGTAACAGAAATTAAGGAGAAAGTATAGGAGAGCTGTGCAACAAAATATTCGAGAAGTGGTTTTTGTATTATTTATTAGTTTTTTCATCTTATTACAAACATATTAGAGCAATATAAAGTATTGTTTTTACATGCCTTTCACTCTCACCTTCTCACTCACACGCATTCTTTTTGGTAAGTGGCGCTTATTTGTTCTTATGTATAAACATAAAATGTATATACATATCAATATGACTAAAAAAAATGTCACAGACAATACCTTAATGAAATTATCAAATAAACATTTCCTGTTTTCCCAGGTATTATCAAACTTTTGCATTTCCAAGTTTTGGCTTACAATATATTTTTCAACTCTATATTTATTGAGAAGTGGTGTTAGTCAGACGTGGATACTTAAAAATTCCAAGGAACTTTTGGACACTATGAAATTACATATACATGTAATAATAATTCAGGGAACCTAAGGAAAGTTTGTTATCACAAAATTATACAAAAACCAACAACATAAAACGTTTTAACTTCTCAGGGTTTTATACAACCATTCCTCACGATAAATTAATATCTTAATGAACTTGAGCCTTGACTTGAGGATACCACAGAATCTGACACACGTGTTTTGAAGAAGATGTTAATGGCAATGCTACAATCAAGCTGTATGATAAACGTGATGACTTTACCTTTGCAATCGTCAACTTCCCTTACTTATACAGCAATGCACCTTCATCATCTGCATACGGGTTTTATATCTCTGAGTTGATTCGCCACGCAAGAGTATGCTACATTTATGACCGATTTCTAAAACGAGGTTAGTTACTAAAACAAGTTGCTAACACAAAAATATCAGCAGTCTCATTTAAAGTCATAATTTTTCGAAAGTTCTATGGTTGATACAATGACCTTTTCACCAAATACAATTTATCATTTATAGTCAAATGTTAACTGAGTTTTTTTTTCCATTTTTCTCGTACTTATTGTTAAGCCATTATATACACATGAGTTTTCCGTTATTTCCCGATAACAAAAAGCACACGGCGGGGTGACCGGTCAGCAAGGGATGCTTACTCCTCCATGGCTCTTAATTCCACCTCTCACTGATGTTTTTGAGGCCTGCGTTTGCTCTGCTCCAATTATGTATTGATTAAGGAATTTTGAGCTTGAATACTTTTCGTTATCTTCATAAATTTCATGATAAGCATTCTCGAACGTACAAGTTGAACCTAACACTAAAATGTAGCTAGATGATATCTCTGGGTGAGAATTTAAATGACCACACTACCGGCTGAGCATATCCATTTTCTAAAAATAAAAACAAATTATCTGAACCAGAAATGATTCAATGATAAATCTTTAATCTAATATTAAAAACTGATTAAATTCAAACAATGTCCAGATGTATAAAAGGAGTGTCATGGTAGTTTGATCGTTGCAAGTCAAGCAATCTTTTGTTCCTTTTTTACCACAATCATGCATTGCAGTACTCATTTTATGCCGAAATCCGTATTCTTCTATTTCTAAGACTATAAGTAGCATCCACAAGTCATTTTACGGTATTTATAACGTTATGTGACAGTATACAAAACTACCAATTTTAAAAAGCGTATTTAACACATTTTCGTGTCTCTAACTTCATAAAATCTGATTGAACTGTAAAGATAAATTGTTAAACAATCTAAAAATTATACTTTTATAATTTGTTATCGCTGTATTTTGTTTTAATTCCTTTCAAATGTTCAAGCATGTTCTGAAATAAAACGTCACGATTTTAGCGCGTCGTAAAAAACGCATTCTTTTATTCCGCTGTTTATTGGACAACAGAGGATATATTCAGATTTCTTTGTACAGTGGTAGATATAGCTGATCATTCTGTATATAATGATACCAAACACGATTAGCCAGATTCGTATATTGCTATGATTATGGATATTCAAATGTAAGCATTTTTCGGAGGGTTTTTTCACTCGTTTGACGAACCGGTTGCATTAATATATGTGTTACAATAATAGATCGAAAGAGAATCTTCTCCTCTTTAAGAAACTGTGTAGATTTATTTTCCTTACATGGACGCTAAAAAGCGCTCTTTCAAAGAACAACAAGGACCGCCCCATTTAGTCGACTTTTACGACAGGCAAGGGGGTACTGAGGATCTATTCTAACCCGGATCCCCACGGGGTTCGGGATTCGAACCTACGACGTAAGGATCAACTCCTCACTTCGACACCTAGAGCATATGACACCCTAAACTAATTGGGATGTCATGAACTTGTTCATTTTCCCGTATTTTCTTTATAAGTTGAAGAAAAGAAAATCAATTTTCAGTGGATCTTTTCCAGTGTAGAGTAGAAATATCACTCATAATGATTTAAAAAAAAATGTGGTTTATCAAAGTTTTTTCACATAACAAATTGAATTGACGACGGCTGTAAACACAAATTTTCTCTAAAATGAGTCAATTTTAGCCTTTCCTGTTTAAAACTTGTTCCAAATTAATGACGTTATATTTTCAGAATGGTCTTCATTAGTGCCATATTCTTTATTCTTTTATGATTTATCATATTCTTATACTCAAGTAATATTTAAGCTTATACCATAGCTTTTAAGGACACAACCGTTCAAACCGTCCCTTCTCATTTCTGGAGTAGGAGAAAAAATATACCTATTTTTGTAGTTTCTGGTAATTTATGAAAAAAAGAAGAATATTTCAAACATTTATTACAGTCCTACATAGCATTCAAAACGTGGTTTAATTTTTTTGTCATATCAAATCTCTATCATTTCTTTAAAAGATTTTAACACACATCAAGCAAAGACAAAATATAAAAATTACATTTTTGGTTAATCATGAATTTTTCTCAACATTTATCTAATTGCAACTCTTTTTATCAGAAAACGTTCTTGGATACCTCCAATACCCGGAAACCAAAATACTTTTTTTGGAAGCCAATTCTTCACACGTCTGTATGCTTCCATGCTATACGTCCTCCATTCTAATTTAGGAATGTTTGGCAAGTTAAAATCAACATCCTCCGGAAGAGCTGCATTTGGATGCATTAGGAGAAGCACATTGCTTTTAGAAATGACATTGCTTTTTATGTTTTCTATGATTGGATCGAAATGATACATATTACAATGATTGTCTTTTAAGTACTCAGGTGAAATAAAAAAAATAATACACGCTGAGTTCTTTACTATATCAGCTGTTATTTCAGAATTTTTTCTTCCGGATCTATTAAGGTCACATTCGTTTAGTATTATACCAACTTTAATGTTGTCGTTCAGTAGTTTATCATACAATTGTTTTGCTTCCTCTTGATAGTCTTCACAGCAAAATATATAGCAGGTATATCTGTACTTTTTCCTACTGATTTCAAGTGTAAAACGGAAAATCCAAAGTGGGAGAGAAGATATACTTCCTTTCAGGTTAATGAAAATTATTACTAGTGGAATAACAAATATGATAAATACTTCCAATAGAAATCGTTTGAAGATAGTGTTTACATTGACATCCCGATAAATTTCTTTCATTAAACTTTCTGATGACATATATTTGTCCATTTCTTTCACAAGAGTTAAATTGGTTAAATGTTTAAATCGTTCAGTGTCAGGAAGCACTATAACAGTATCAGGATGTTTGACTCTCATGTAAACTGATGTCCTTCTATCCTTGTCATATTTTAGGCGCATGTATTCGATTGTATGCATACCATAAACAGACAAGTCGGCACACTTTGAAAAAAAATGAAAATGTAAACTCAGAATCAATGTTATAAATTCTGTCATTTTTTGGACATCCCCTAGGGATAAAATTGTAGTGCGGGCGAAAACAAATGGAAAAAAGAACCGTCAATGAAGAACAACCACTACATCTATTTCTGCCCTTTGCTACCGTTGCTGCATCTTCTCCATTTATGAAATATGTTTGTGTAATATTAGTTCCATCATATCCTAAGCTCATAGGGTGCCATATGATTTGGAATTTATTTCCCAAGGGAACGAAAATAACGTCTCTTATCCCCTTGCATTTTTGCAATGTATGGTGACTGAAAAGGTTTGTATAAGTGACAGTGTGCCTTCTTTGTTTTACCGTAAAAATACCGTTTATCACACAAAGTCCTGAGAATGTTGTCTTATGAACTTCACATATGTATCGTCCATAATCTTCTTCTTCAATAAATGAAATATTTAAGGAACTCATAACAGCCATTTCATGGGTATATTTTTCAAATATAGTATTTATTTTGATTTTGTAATTATCAGCTTTTATTTTTCTGTTATTTCTCTTCCACTCGACTTTGATATCCTTCGGGGATGTAACAATTGGTAGTGCAAGGAAACTATAAAAAATCACATATTCCCCCTGACACTTATAATGAATGCTTACATTTTCCTTCCTCGTTTTATCAACAGCTGTAGTGCAATGACATATCTCAGTTTCCTTTTTGTATTTCAAAACGTTTTCTGTTTCTAAAGCCGATATGTCAAGTGTTTCTAATTTTGTACATTCTTTGTTCACCAGTGAAGATCCATGATGTAAGGGTGTATTTTCTACTCTATTTCCTGGTTCGTTATAAGAGAATGTTGAAACAAACTTGTCAATATATTGGCTCCCAATGACACAAAGCAAGAAACACCATATAGAAAAACATGTTATATACTTTAGACAAAATCTTAATTTTTTTTTACAAAATAAATGAAATATTCTGCAAAAATTTTAGGAATACTCAAAAAACATAATATGCAATATGATATTTTGTACCATATTCCAGTTGCATAGAAGATAGATTTTGTGTTAGCTATACAATCATGAAAAATAACATATTCGATAGCATAAACTGGTATAAGATAAATCTTGTTTCCACATAAAACTGATATCATACATATGAAAAGTATTGTCATTGCTGTAAACGGAAACAAGAAAACAGATCTACTCATATAAGCGTTGTTAAGAAATACAATCATCATTAAATAAGGAAATTGTTAGAGAAAGGTACCAATAATAAGATGAATAATAATAAGAAAATAATTTTCCTATTAATCGGGATCAATTCTACGTTTCTTTTTTTATTCATGTTTGAACAATATCTTTCTATAAATAAATCTTTAACTTTAAATATCCAAATATGAAAGTAAAAAAAAATTCAATTTTTTTCTTTATAAAGGTAAAGAAACAATACATATACCTCTCTCCTATAATCCAGATTTAAGTACATGTAAATCCAATAGGTAACATATGTACAATCTACAAACAATAAATACTCATGTATTCTTATTCATAAACCGTAAAAAACATTCTCTCTCAGCAAATTTAAAGGGGTTAAGAAATATCTAGAAAGGAAGACCCGATTATTGATTTTTAGGTATTGATTTTTAAACACATTATAAAGACGCTGGTTGAAGGTTCTTAAATATTTGTGTTATTTTATGTATACACTTGATCTATAACAAATTGTTCAATGTGTTGCAATAATTTTATACAATGTTCAGCAAACATTCACTAGTAAAGTTAATGCGTCGACATGTAATTATGTCTTAAACATGGCTGCATTTCGAAAATTCAATAATTAAATTCCCATTCGGAAAGTAAAAACATCGTAAGCCTTGTAAACCATTTTCATAATGATTAAGAATAAAGATTTTAAAAAAGGATTATTCATTTTCGCTTTTTCAGTATAATGTACTTATTGTAAATCATAAGGCTAGTGAAAACTGGAATAAGATTTATTTATTATTATTGGCGAATGAGGCCACGGTCTCAGGATTGCCATATAATAAAATGGCTAATCCTAGACCTTAAATCAATTAATCACATTACCCATTGTATTGAATATTTTGAGCTATACACCAGTCTAATTTCTCACGAAAAATTGTTAATTTTCACTGCTTCTATTGTGAGTAAAGTAATAGATTATTAATGTAAGAAATGTATACATTTACTTTTATCTTCATATTTATTCTATATACATAAGAGTAAATTCAATTTAAGAACAAAAACATTGTGTGTGTGTGTGGGGGTGTGTGTGCGCGCGCGCGCCGTGAACTTATGAGGTAGCACGATGTTTAATTGCAATGATGATGAGTATTGTTTACTGTTTAAAGTTTGAATAAGGACTTGAAAAAAATTATACTATCTGATTATATTGAGGATTATTATCTCATAAAGACTTTCATTTATTCAAATGAGCTATTATTTTAATTTTTTATACCCTTTTAGAAGAAACCAGAAGAGACTATATTTTTCATCCTGGTATGTACAACTGGTTCTTTTGTTGTCTATCCGTTTGTCCCTCTTGTTTTTCCTTTTACCTATACACTTAAGTACAGTGTACTATTCTTAATTTAAGAAACTCAGAACAAACGTGTATACGTTTCACCCCGATGTGTTTTTGTACCATTCCGAAATTTTATACGACTTCTATAGGACATAAAAAATGTTGCATGAATTGATGTAATTGTGTTGTGACTAATTTTGAAAAAAATATTTAAAAAATAAGGGTAAAATATCAAGTTATCATGCAATTTCTTTGATGTTCAGATACTAGTGTAGAACTTTGTGGTATTTTATACAATGTAATGTTTAGTTACAATTTTTCATCATTAAAAATTTTAAAAATTACAATGCTTACACCTGGCAAACATTTCAAAAAGTTTGTCCACAATTAAAACAATGTTTGTTTATCTTCTCTCGTCTCAGAATATACTAAAGGTACTATGAGCACTGACCCCACAAAATGACCCCCGGGCTCCCATATGATTATGGTGAGAAAGTTTTGGTGAACATGGGGGATCTGAAATAAGTGTCAAATCAAAAACTAAAATAGGAGGTCACAGTGGCACTCTAATAAGATAAAATGTCTTGAAAGTTTCATTAAATTTTATTTAGTAGCATAGGAGAACGTGATGATAAGAAAATGGTAGCTGTTAAAATTAGAGAAAGAATGGCAGTGCCTGTGTTTTGCTATTTGAAATCTAATAAATGTGTCAGATCAAAAAGATTGGAGGAGCAGAATATCACATCATGTACCAAAGATTCTGTAAAAGTCTCAGTAATTTAATAGTATAACGCAAGGACGTGCTGACAGATGGACGAACAATCGGACGGACGCGACACGGACACCCCAATTACTATACATTCCAACTTTTCAAGCGGGGGTATAAAAATGAGTTTTTCATTTCCGAGAACTTCAACATCCATGCTGAATTTTCAATACGGCTTTACACACATTTGTGTATATACATAAAATAACACAAAATGCACATTTTACATGTACTAGTTGCTTCCACTGTGCAGTTTGCCGTCTTTTTTTGGTTTTGGGCCATTGTTAGACAGTCGGTTGCGAAAAGGAAACCAAACATTAATTTCCTTGAAAATGGGGACATCTTATACTAGTAGTTATATGTTTATATATTATTAAAAAAAAATAATTGACATAAAAATATGTTATTTAACTTTCATTTGATTTTAGAAAATGATTTTTCTTTTGCCGGTATTTGACAATATACAATTATGGACTGTTTAGAAGGGAGAGATCATTTGTTATCAAGACTAAGTAGGGTTGTCACCCGAGGGCGCTAAAATGGATATTGGCTAATCCCAATTTTCTTTACTTTTCTTAAATTTTTAGGATATATATGTTATTTCTATATGCTTCCTGTATCTAATTTTTTTTTATTCTCATATATGGTAAAGTTGTCACATAAAGATTCAAATTTATACAAGAACAAAAGGTTTTGAACGTTTACTAAGAGAGAGAAAAAAATACTATTTAGGGATTTACAGCTCAAATATGTACTTAGATTGAAATTCAAAGTTTTTAAAAAGCTAATACCGTTCTAATTTGTTTGAAAAATAATATTTATTTGATATATTTTGAAACTTTAGTCTCTTATTATTAATTTAAATAAAAAAAATCTCTGCAAGTCTTTGACTGTGTAAAAATCATAACTAAATTCATTGTACTATAATAATTTTGAGAAGCAGAAAAGAAGATATTTTCATACGCAACCATGCACTCCGCCAAAAATATAGTTCCTGCTAGTTTTTAATAGCAATTTACCATTTCTATTCAATGTTTTTATTTACAATTGTGTCGAGGAAAGAAAAATATTGTCGTTTAAATCTCTTACACCTAAATTTATAAGATATGAAAGCAAATATACTTTGAATATTTCATCTAGTCAGAAACCAGAGAAGAATCCTATCTTAATATAAATACTATCTTGCACGAAGCGCGTTTGTTTTATTTTGGTCTTTTGCTACAACGTTACAGATTTCGCAATGCAAATGTAAAATATTCTGCGCACATTTAGGGGTATATCTCTACTTTCCAACATTAGCCAATCAAGTATATCTGCCATTCACTAATTTAAGATATACTGTAGAGCACTAAATTTTTGCGAGAAAGACATTTACTCTTTACTCTTCATAAGTAAGACAGAATTTACAAAAATTGTGCTAACTGCTATGTATATCTTATGGAATACTAGGTAGTAATTTACGCTTCAATATTATTTCAGCGTTTTCATAACTTCCCACAAATACAATTTTATTAACAGTTTCCTATTACCAACCTATTATAGTTTTTCCACCTCCTTATTCCTTTAAAAGTACTGTCCTCTCAACAGACCAATTAACTTGCTTCTTTTGAATGTTCTGCCATCCGACAAGAAAATGGGAGTTCTTTGTCCGTATAGACGATTATACGGGTTAAGAGGTAAATAAACAATACAATTTATATATTATATTCTAAAATTAGGGAGAGGAATTTATTTAATTGATCAATGCTGGAAAGTTGAGAAATTCTCCGCAAATGTGCGCATGAAAAATGTTTGATTTGTACAATTTATGTCAAAAAGTGTTTTTGCACTTTATTTGCGTTTAAGATTATATGTTGATTTCATTAAGCTTATAATGGAATCATGTATATTACAAAAATATAATATATATAGTCGTGTTAAATCATAACGCGCGCAATAGCTTTTGAGTTCATGTATGTTAATACTGTATTAATTACTTTTATTTCATTTAATAATATTCTAGAGAAAAAATAATTCCCTTCACCCAGTTAAATAAACATTTCTTTTCTTGACAACAAAGTTAACGTAATTCTTGTTACAGTCTATTCACGATGCAAATAACCCTATGTAAAATAGTCAAATCATTAAGATTTAAAGAAAAAGAGAAAAAGAAATGTCACCTGCTCATTTCAGAAAAGTATTTCTCTTAAAATAGATGTACAAAATATTGATGTAAAAACATTGATACTTATTTCACTTATTTCAAAATGTTTACCCCACAATGTTTAGAAATAAAGAAAGATACTGTAAAACGAAGTGTTTTTGATTTTCTTCCTTTTTCAATTTATTTTTTCCCTATAGGAGCCACCTCTAAGGCTTTCTCCTATTTTAATTCTTCCTCCATCTTTTCTTGCATATAGACTCTGCGTCCCATGTAAGTTGCATTAACTTGAAGGATGAATTTGTTGGCTTGTTGTGTAAGGTATACCTTATTGTTGTACTGCGGGAAGATGACTTCCATGTCTGTTTGTTGGCTCAGTATCTTTTCCTAAGTCAGAAGGCTGACAAAAGTGTACATCAAGAAAAGTTCAGTAATATTTTTAAAAAAAATTATTATTTCAGAGGAAAGGCAAGAAAAGGAAAATAAAACTATGTTGTATTGTAAATTTTGTATAATCTGTCACGTAGTAAATTCAAAATTTACAGCTGATTTCTAATTATTATTAGTATTGCACAGGAATAAGCATTCACTTATGATTAGCGCACCATCCGTAAAATCCATGTTTAGATAAGTTAAGGAAATAATCGTAGTCAAATTCATTTTTTAAAAAGCTTACCAATATTGGTATGATTTATATTAGTCAAAATGCATGTATACAATAATTGGCTATATCTGTCAATAAGATCATTGTACAACAATCATGTGGTTTACGAAATTCTGACTTTAAACATGGTTGTCAGGATGCAAAAATATCAACTTATTGCTCAGTTACCTACATGCATATTAGCATTATCTTGAATATCGAAAAAATTAAGGGACAAATAACATATGTTGATTGTTATGTAACAATACCACATAGATAAGGAAAACTAACAAAGGACAGGCTGTAATCATCTTGTTTGTCATAAAACTTAGTTGTCAGTCAAACCTTGTTGTTTACAGTAAATAAAACATATAGATATGGAAATATGAAGGATATGTATGCCTTTATATACTCACGCTTAGTTCTGTATTTAATTCCCCTGATGCTTTAGAGGGAATTACAATATCATTGTGTTCGTATGTAGCATTTATAAAGGTGGCCCCCTTCCTGTCAAAAAATATATTACTATTAAACTAGTAAATATATATTGTAAGTATATTTCGTCACAAAAAAAATTAGAACTTACTGATTATGCTTTGTACTGTGAAAAGTTAAAGAAAATATATGCATCTGTATAACTACCTTCTCTTTCTGATTTGCTTCCTCTTAGCTACAGCAGACATGGTAAATATAGCAGCAGCAGCACCAAACACAATACCACCAAAGCCTGCCAGAGCTATAGAAATACGATACATCTCTGTGGACTTCTTCTCTTCTCTGTTCTCTAAAATGGAGTATTTATTTTCATTTTTTAAAAACTCTTATCCAGTTTTTCTCTTAAGACTTCTTTGATAAGTTGCATGCAATAAAATTGAAATAAAATAAATATTCTCAACAATTTATCTTAAGAACAATGATGGGTAATTAAAATAATGAAAGATGAAAATAGCAAGAAAAATATATCAACTCCTTCATGAAAATTTTGCGTGTCTTGTGCCAAAAGCTCCTCGATATTTTCAATGCGTGGTGAAAAATCATCAATCTTTACCATTTTGTATCTGTGGTGTTGAACTTTCAATACAATTTGGTGGGGAAGCTGCAGTTGACATAGAGAGAACATCTAAAGAGAACATGAAGAAATAAAAAGTGCCACATTTCCAGGAAAACAAGTCTCATATAACATATCACTGCAAATTTTATTCATGAAAAACATATTTAAAAAATAATTTAACACTTCATTTTTCTGAAAATGTTTCAGTGAATCATTTGATTTTTTTTTTATCTTTTTAAAAATCAGATTTTGAAAAGTCTCAGTGCGAATTAACTGTAAGTTTCATTTCATACTTGAAATCAAATCCAAAATACTAGTATATTACTGAGTGTGAAGCAATCCATGATCCTACTTCCATTACTCTGAGTCTTCAATCTGCATTGTGTTTGTTCTAGTCGGTTTTGTAGATTACTGAACAAAACGTCAACATCTGTTTATATATAATTAAGAACAATAACACATCATTAAATTTTAAAACAAGGAATTCTTTTTTTACCGAGACTTAATAGTTAAATTTTGTAAAATTTTCAATGAATTTATTCAAATATATTCAAAATGTATTTGATCACTGAAAACCTGTAATAAAAACACGTTTGAGTTTGAAGTTTGTCATGTATAAATATATTTTTAAAAAGGCATGCAATTATAAGCAACACTAGAAGTTTCAATAATATACATAAAAACCTGTGTCTTTAGCAATTGTTTCTGTTTCTACAAAGCACTTTACAACGGATTTGGAGGGACATGACGTTGCACTGGTTAAACTGTTTTGACAAAAGCTGCAACAGGAAAGCCTCATCTTTAAGCAAAAAACACTTCAGTAAAACAGTTTAATTAATTAGATTTCGTAGTAAATAAACAATTTGATGAGGGATTCCATGCTAACTTTATTTAATTTGTGTGAAATCCCTGTGAATTATGTATCACTCCTTTTTATTTTATTTTTATTTTTTTGATATTTTCATTTAATTTTGTAGAGGAAAAACATGATGATTTGTTCAACCAATGGTGTTAAGTTATAATTGAACGAAAATTTTCTCTAAAAATCCATAAAGTACCGAATAACTTTGAATTTTCAACTAGTTCCATTATTTTTATTAATAAAAAAAATCTCAAAAATATGAAAAATACATATGTATTCCTTGATTGTGTTACACAAAGACACAAAATCTTACTTAATTTTCAGTTCATTGGACCCCGTACATTCTGTTATAATATATCGTATCAGCATCAGTTTTGTCAGAAGGCCAGCTATTGGAAAATTGAAGAAAAAACATTTTGCTTCATATTATAAAAAAGTTTACATAAAGACAATTTAATAGTCCTCAAGAAACCAAAGGACAGTGTTATTCTTCTTGTTTCTGTATTTGTATAAGCTTTTCAGCTTATTTTCCTATATGCTTGCAGAAAATGAACTCATTTTTGGTATGTAAGACAACCATGATAAGTTAAAGAGCATTTAAGTTTCATTTCGATCCGCTTGATATCGATTTTAAACAAAATACGGCTCTTGGACAGGAAACCTAAACTGTAGATTTAGCATGCCAAATTTCATAATTTCTTGATGAGACATGTTCACGTTAACGTTGAAGAACACGTATATTTTCCTATCGCAAACAATCAGAATTGTCCTATTAAAAATTTTCACGCTTTTTAATCTCACGGTAGATGAAATGATAGGCTTCCTGATATTGAAAACAAACGTTTTTTCAATTAAAATGAATATTGTAAAATTCCAAATTATTATTATTTTTGGGCATTTGCAAGGTAACATTCATGAATAATAGTTTGGATTCTACATTCAGTTTCTCTTACGTTAATATTTAAAAGTTGCTAAAGTTCGGCATTGATAAGTTCTTGGATTCCGAAAGGCGCTAATTTGTTTTTTTTTTTCTAATTTTTACAATACTGTACAAAATGTAAAATTATTTAGTTATATGTTGTTTTACGTTAATAATATGGATATAACGAATAGTATTCAAGAACATTTAAGTCCATAAGACAATACGAAATAGGAGCAGATGGAGCAAACACGGACCTCCAAAACATCAGAGATGGGATCAGATCAGGTTTCAAGAAAAAGTGAGCATCCCCTGTAAACTGGTGAGACATGCCGCGTGTTCCTTGTCATTATCGGGAAATAAAGGGAAAATCCGTCGTCAATTAACTGTATAAAAATGGACTAACAATTAGTATGAAAAACGTCAATCAGCATTTCATTCAATTATGAAACATAAGGAGATAGGTAACAGCATTCAAGATCAAAAGTCCATAAAACAATTCAAAATAGGAGCAGAGCAAACAAGAACCTCTAAAACATCAGAGGTGGGATCAGGTTTCAGGGAGGAGTGAGCAACCTCTGCCGACTGGTCACACCAGCCGTGTGCTCCTTGTCATGATCTGGAAATAACGGGAAAATCCGTCGTCAATTCATTGTAAAAACAATAGACTAACAATTAGTATGAAAAAACGTCAGTCAGCATTTGCTTCAATGATAAATTGTACTTGCTGACAAGGTTATTGTATAGACCATAGAACTTAACGATTGATTGATTATTATTGTTTTACGCCATATTTCGGCGATTAAATTAAGTATGATCATTTTTTAAATTTTTGGGTTTCTCTGGCGGCCCCCAGCGAGCCTACTCTTTTTCGAAAACCAGAGAAACGATCTTTTTCGTGCCAAGGGGGTTCTTATCCTTGACACGGGCACCATTTAACGTCCCATCCGACGGACTCTTAGAACTTGACGAAATGATGACTTTAAACGAGTCTGCTGATATTCTTGTTCCATCAACTTGTTAATCATTTACAGCGTTTTCGAAATTTTTCATACGTAGAGCATGCTCATGCGTATCAAATCAACTGGGATGTATAAACTCCGTGTGCAAATCATGAATTCAAAGTATATTGCTGCATAAGTAAGGGAAGTTGACGATAGAAAATTTAAAGTTATCACGTTTATCATACAGCTTGGTTAACGTTGTTAAATTACCATTAATGTATTTTTTCCGGTAAGATATCCAAGTAGAAAACAGATTTGTCAGACTCTGTAGTATCTTTTATCTCAAGCTCACCAGGATACTTGGTATATCGTATCGGCATAGGAATGGAAATTACCATTGTTAATTGACAATACGTCGTAGATATATCTAAATGTCGAGTTGAAGGCCTCAGCAAGTGTTTTCTTCTTTTCAAGCATAAGATTTTGCACAAATTCTGCTTCAAATGGATACAAAAATAGGTCTGCTAATAACGAAGCGCAATTATTACCCATAGGAATCAAAGAGATTGTTGGAAGGCCTGGTCTCCAAATACATGTACCACATAGATATTGTCAATCAAAAACTCAAGCATCTTTTTAATGTAAACTTCAGAGTACTTGTGTGTGCAATCAGAATGTATTTTAACAACTACGAGTTCCATTTATATTGAAAAAGCAACTGTCAATGATATCAAAAAGCATGAAGTTTTTAAGCTTTTGATTTTTGTAAAATCTTGTATTTCTGTTTGCTGACAATGTTATTGTATCGACCACAGAACTCACGAAATGATGACTTTAAACGAGACTGCTGATATTCTTGTTTCGTCAACTTGTCTGTCAATAATTTACCGCGTTTTAGAAATTGTTCATTCCTAGAGTATGCTCTTGCGAATCGAATCAACTGAGATATATAAACTCTGTATGTAGGTGATGAAGGTATATTACTGCACAAGTAAGGGAAGTTGACGATCGTAAAGTTTAAGTTGAAGGCCACAGCAAGTGTTTTCTTCTTTTCGCGAACAAGATTTTGGATGAATTTTGCTTCATATGAGTTTGAGAATTTTTAGTCATATAGAGTCGTCACCATATTCGGGTGAAGAGCTTCATTTAGCCCTTTACTAGACTCTATTGGACTGTGAGGGTTCTTAATCCTCCCATAACCTAAATGTACCGCGACACTGGACCTTAGCTTTTAAAGTCTCATTTGAAAGACCCAATAATGTAACCCGGACCTCCCGATCACGTAGCGACCACCCTGGTTCCGTGTTACTAAAATTCCACTACCTCAGTCTTAATATTCACCTCAAACCCCTTGCGGTTTCCTTAACTGAAAACGTCCTCAATCAACCTTCACCAAACGGACTGAGGATTATCCGAGTATTGAGTTGAGGGATGTTGTTGAAGGAGGGGCCAGGCCGGTTAACGAATTTGATACAATCCTTATCTTTTTATACAGTACATTTACAGCAGAACATTGTATCAAATTCTATAAACCGAGGATTGCAATTAAGTGAATATTCATATAATTATAACTAATAGGGGGCCTATATTATCATACATTGTACTATTGCAATAAATAAGAAAAGAAGATTGACGTCCTTACCCCAGATACTTTCCATATTACACTATAATACAGTAACCATATATCAACAACACTTAAGATAACTGATTCATTGTGTTTTGTATTTATTTACTTCCTACATAAGGAAGATTAAAGTGCTCTATTGGCTTGTGAATTTTTAAATACATTGTCATTGCTCCCTGTATATCAATGAATTTTTATATAATATTTAAAGGACAAATAAATTATGCTTTAAATATTTTAGGGGTACGCTGTCTCTCCGATGCAGAGATGCAAAATAGCCTCTGGCATGAAAATTGTGGCTTACAATCTGAAAGAGGAGAAAGGGCTGAACTCCTATTTATAAACAATCGACCTACTACACGAAGAAATTTTGACGTATTTCTTAGTTTTAAGGTGCAAACGTTATTCTGAAAATAATAGGGATTAACAAGGTAAACAAAGTAAAAAAAAAATACATAGAACTAGAAGTCAACTTCACGAACTGAATTTATATTCAGACATTTCTGTACTCATGTAATAATTTCTCCAAGTCATAAAGGTTTGGAAAGACAAATTGATGTAGTTTGTTTGTTTTTTGAGAACTTTCAAGAACATGTACCTACATCGTGGGTAACCTAATAAGGGTGATTCACATCGATTCTCTCTATCATCACTAGGAAGCTTGCGGAGTCAAAAACAGTGGTTCGCGACGATGATGTACCCATGGGTATAAATAAATTATCATTTTTCAACAGATTCTGCAGACAAAATGTTCACGTGTTTCAGGAGTCAATTTGTACCATGCACTTAATATGTTTCTTAAGTACCCTTTAGCAGACAACATTTTGAAAGAATTCAGTCATTTCTACAATTTGTTAAACAAAACCCGCATAACAGCAAAACCTTGACGCAGGAGCTATGAATTTCATATTTTTGGAAACTGCGTCTTAACCACGCAATTACCAAACCTTGTCTGCATGCTAAATAACCTGGGCTGAGAAGATCTATAAAAAAATTACACATATTTAGTTTCTGATCTAGATCTGTAGTGTGTTCTCCAAACAACAGAACTCCTAACCCACAGGTCATGAAACTCAAAATTTTTGAGAGGGACACTTGCTCATCAGCAAAAAGCACTTTATATGCTTAATCCTTAAACCCTTCGAGGTTCAAGAAAAGCATTTGAAAATGTTAAAACGTTTACAAACCATGAAGTTTATAAAATATACAACGATAGACAACAAATGATAGCAAAACGACACCTGGGTAACTCAGATGATCTAAAAAAATTAAAATTTAGCCATAGAAAACTTCACAAGTAATTTCATGTACTGTATTTTTCTAGTCCAAAAATTTACAAAGAATAAAGGAAATCAACAAGCACTAGCACAAAACAAATAGTGAAATAAACAAGAACAAAATATCTTTGTCCATTAATTCTTAACAGCATCATCTTTAAATATAATCTTTACAAACTAGGTAATTTCTCAATCTCTGTAAATCAAATACTGGTATCTATAATTATGATTAATTGATTCAGCAGAAAATAGATTATCACATCACAAAATTATGCTAGAAAAATAGATATATTGAGTAAGAGTACCGGAGGACCATGGGCCACAGTTATCTGAGTACAGTCCTTTTTTGTTCTTTAGAAAAGAAAATGTTTGAAAGATTTTCCCCAAAAATACTAATATTCCTATGTAAAATGTTGACACAATATCATGGTCCAACCCTTGTCCAGAGGGCTATGATCACAACTTAATCAAATTCAGATTTACACATTTCCAATGTATGCGTAATGCAGTATAATAGTACTATTTCTGCTATTTCTAAATTTTTAAAGAATATGTCAATAGATAGAATGAACTTGAGAAAACATTGTCAGCCTAATTTACCGTTTTATTTTGAAAATATTTTTCACTATGAAAAATGCACAAAGAGAATTTACAACTATATAAATGTGGACGAGTTGGTTCAGGTTTCATAATTTTATTAATGCAAAAAAAAAGGTGGCAGTGTACATGGAAACCTGCAACAGAAAGAACAGCAAGTTGTACACATATGACTGCACTTAATCATAAAATAACATGCAGAGAACAATGGAGTGAACAAATAGTGGTGTCATGTAAGATACAAATAAGAAATATTATAGGGGGCTCTACCCTAGATGGCACATGTACTATGGTGCATATGATCTATAATTAATTTGGTATATAAACAGACTTAACTTACATATCCTTAAGATAAGTATAAGTAAATCTACATAAATACATATGCTACTTCAGCTTACTGTTATGTTAGTTAAAGTATAGTACAGCCCTAAGTGTTTTGATTCCTAACAAAATATTATTAATTAATAATAAAAACACAGTACATCATCCATGTAACTATGACTAGCAAGACCTTTGACTAGAAATCCACAAGTACAAACATTTCTCATTGATAACTTACGATGACTTTTGAGAGAGTGGCTACGAGTGATCTCAAATATTGCGCCTTTCCGGATATACCTAACATGGTCTGATTATACATTAGAATTGACCATTCCGGATTGTACAGGACATGCAATAATTGCTAAATAACACAATCGAGCTACCAATCACAACAAGGTATTTAGAATTATAAATGAGTATTATTCAAATAACATTAAAACCTATCTGGGACTAGTTTAATACATATAATGTAACAACCAAACAAAAGAATTCATAATGGCGGGAATACAAACTGACACTGTAAACAAAGACTAACTATGCAACCTATTTCTATGTTATAAACTAAGACAGCTAATCAAACAGAGGATATACATAACTACTTTAGTCTAGAACATACTAAGATATAAATCATCAAGTAGAACCTACCTAACATGTGGCTAAATCGGCAGTAAGGAACATCTGACAACACCTGCCATGTGAGGGGAACTCTTTTACAATGCCTAAAATTAAAGCCCGGACTGACGGAAAAATATGTTCCGGCGCACTCTACTACATTCTCCCCTGCTTAACCATGTAACGGCCCTTGTTACAGGAAAAACGGCCTTATATAAACAAGAATTTGTAAAAAATACACCACATATTAATACGAGCATAGAAACATTGGCAGTTATTTTAAATGTATGTTGTAACAGAAAAACTTATGAAAAATACAATCTTAAACATCACAACCTAACAATTAACTGTAATTGTCTTACTAATCAAAAAATAAACAAACTCTAGATAACTAAAAAATACAGTCAGTATACATCTCGAAAATGACTTGTACACAAAATTAGGTTCTAATCACTGAACGTGGCAGCCTGTTGGGATTTGTGTGTTGTCCGGCTGTAGAACGACCAGATCTGCGAAGTGGCGATGACCCTTTCATTACAATCTCGTAATCCTCGTCTGATGAGTCTTCATCCAACGACCTTTCGTCCGATTCTTTTCTAACTGTTGTTTCGTTCTCTTGGGGCGCCTTTGGCTTCTGATCAATGTTCGATGGCCCTGTTTTAGGATTGATGTTCACGCGGTTTACTATGCGTGTGTCTGCTGTCCCATCTCTTGGCTCCACTTGATAAACATAACGGTCTGGGTCTACTCGTTTTACAACCATATATTCCTTTGATCCCCAAGCATCCTGTATCTTGTTGCGTCCTAGAACACGGTTTCTTAAGAGGACAATAGTACCAATAGGAAGATCATGTGTTGCCATTTCCTCTCTGTCACCTTCACGGTCTTTTGCCTTTGCCCGAAGTTTCTCCCCTGCTTTTTCGTATGCGGTCTTCAATCGCTGGGCATGCTGTTCCACAAATTCATGAAGGTTAACTTCATCCTCTTCCCCTTCCTCCTCAAAAAGAAGCATGGAGTCAACAGGTAACCGTGGATTTCTTCCCAGAAACAGGTAAAAAGGTGTGAAACCTGTTGAAGAGTGTACTGTGGAATTGTATACAAACAGCAGTTCTGGTAACTGGTCTGGCCAATGTCTTTTTTCACGTGGAGTTAATGAGCGCAAAAGATCATGCAGCGTTCGGTTGAACCGTTCACATTGTCCGTTACCCTGGGGGTAATAAGGCGTTGTGCGAGTCTTCTTCACCTTGTACATCTTACAAAGCTCAGCTATCAGAGATCCCTCAAAGTTTCTGCCCTGATCAGAATGTATGCGCTCTGGCACTCCATACTTCATGAACCATTCTCTCATGAGAACCTTGGCTGTTGTTACTGCTGTCTGGTCCCTAGTCGGGATTGCGATAGAAAATTTGGAGAAAACATCAGTTAGAACTAGAACATTTTCCCTGCCATCTGACGACTTTTCTAGAAGAGTGAAATCCATGGCTACGATCTCATTTGGTTTCGTGGCTAGAAGATGGTTCATAGGTAACCGCATTCGCAAGTGTGGTAATTTTGCTGAATTGCACCTTTCGCATGACTTGCAGTACTCGCTGATGTCAGCGTACATTCCAGTCCAGTAAAATCTAGATCTCACTAGACTGACTGTCCTGTCTACACCCTGATGTCCTGACTGCTTATGGAGTTGGGTCATAATTTGGTCTTGTAAACACTTAGGTAACACAAGCTGTTGCAACTGGCCTTGTTGGGGGTCGTTTACTCTGCGATATAGGTGACCTTGTCTTAAGACCATCCTCTCCCATTGTCGTAGCATGTCAATAACAATTCGTGTTTCTCCCTCCCTTTCTTTCTTAGACGGCTTTTGTCCAATAAGGAAATACTTCATGAAACTTGAGATAACGGGGTCCTGGCTCTGCATTTTGATGATATCTTCTAGGTCATAACTGGGGAACGAAAACACACTAGAACATACTGCTGTCGGATGTAGTGTCATAGCACGGTCTTCACATCCCTCGATTGCTGATGCAAGGGCCTTAACTCTAATCTCACAGGTAAGTGCACTGCATGTATTTGGCACAATGGATGAAATGGAATCACATCTGGAAATTCTAGACAAGGCATCAGCCGCAGTGTTTTCTTTTCCAGGTCGGTACTTGATGGTAAAGTTATATTGTGCTAGTTGCATGGCCCAACGTTGTTCAGTAGCTCCCAGTTTTGCGCTTGTTTGGAGATAACTTATGGGGTTATTGTCTGTCAGGATTTCAAATGTTGATCCCCATAGATAATCCTTAAACTTTTCAGTCACAGCCCATTTAACTGCAAGCAGTTCAAGTTTAGCAGAGCTATAGTTAGAGTCGTTGCGCTCTGTAGGACGGAGTGTGCGACTAGCATAGGCGATGACACGACGTTTTCCTTCCTGCTCCTGCATCAGAACAGCACCCAACCCATTCAAACTTGCATCTGTCTCCAGGACGAATGGTTTGGAGTAATCTGCAAACCCCAACACATCTGTGGATGTCAGCTTATCTTTCAGCGTGTTGAATGCAGTGGAACACTCTGGTGTCCATAAATGTTTCAGTTGTCCATTAGTCTTTTGAGGATTATTCCTGTTGAAAGTGGCTATCAGTCCATACAATGGCTTTGCAGTATGAGCATATTTCGATACAAATCTACGATAGTAGCTTGAGAATCCCAAAAATCCTCTCAGTTCCTTAAGTGTCTTAGGAAGTGGCCAATCCTTTACAACTTTTACTTTGTCCTCGGATGCAGAAATCCCCTCCTTGGAGACTGTGTAGCCTAGATACTGCACTTCCTGTTGAAAAAAGTGGCATTTGCGTGGATTGAGTTTAAGGCCATGTTCCCGTAGCTTAGCAAACACCAGGTCTAACCTCTGTAGATGTTCATCTAAGGTCCTAGAGTATACCACTATATCATCAAGATAAACCAGTAAAATCTGGAAAACTGTGTCGCTGAAAATCTGCTGCATTAGTCTTTGAAAGCTTGCTGGTGAATTGCATAGGCCAAATGGCATGCGTCGATATTCGTATAAACCGAAAGGAGTCGAGAAAGCAGTTTTGTGTTGGTCTTCTGGATGCATTGCTATCTGGTGGAAGCCACTTGCCAAATCCATGGTGCTAAACAGTGTAGATCCATGAAGGGCATCAAGAGACTCCTCAATGCGTGGGAGAGGGAAGGCGTCACGAATCGTGCGGTGGTTTAACTTCCTGTAGTCCACACATAGTCTAATGGTATTGTCCTTCTTGCGTGCAATGACTATGGGCGCAGCATAAGGGCTCTTGCTCGGCTGGATTATGTCCTTCTCCAGAAGTTTTTGTATGTGGTTTTTAACTTCTTGATACTGATTTGGTGGTATTCTTCTGTAAGGCATGCTTATAGACTCTCCATCTGTTAAATTAATGCGGTGCCTAACAGTCTCAGCGCATCCCACGTCCAGGTCATTCTTCACAAATACGTCAGAATTCCTTGAGAATAGATCTAAAATCTTCTGTCTTTCTTCTGAAGTGCATTCCATGTTCTCTGGGACAAGTGAGGATGCATCAAAAGCTGGTGAATCTCCAGTTATGTCATCATGCAGTACAACCGTTTCCTCCCTTACTCCTGTAGACAGAAACTCCGCTTTAGCTCGAGGTGCTGTGTCAACGTCGCATTCAGACACTAGAGCCACACGACTATTCTTCTTCAACCAAACATCAGTGTCCCTTGTTCAGCCCTCAGGGCCTCCAGCTGGGCCTTGACTTCCTTTTTGTTCATCTTGATGCTGCTTTCTCTCCACCACCACCTTTAGAAAATTACCGGCGACGCCATTTGTGGACGAGTTGGTTCAGATTTCATAATTTTATTAATGCAAAAAAAAGGTGGCAGTGTACATGGAAACCTGCAACAGAAAGAACAGCAAGTTGTACACATATGACTGCACTTAATCATAAAATAACATGCAGAGAACAATGGAGTGAACAAATAGTGGTGTCATGTAAGATACAAATAAGAAATATTATAGGGGGCTCTACCCTAGATGGCACATGTACTATGGTGCATATGATCTATAATTAATTTGGTATATAAACAGACTTAACTTACATATCCTTAAGATAAGTATAAGTAAATCTACATAAATACATATGCTACTTCAGCTTACTGTTATGTTAGTTAAAGTATAGTACAGCCCTAAGTGTTTTGATTCCTAACAAAATATTATTAATTAATAATAAAAACACAGTACATCATCCATGTAACTATGACTAGCAAGACCTTTGACTAGAAATCCACAAGTACAAACATTTCTCATTGATAACTTACGATGACTTTTGAGAGAGTGGCGACGAGTGATCTCAAATATTGCGCCTTTCCGGATATACATAACATGGTCTGATTGTACATTAGAATTGACCATTCCGGATTGTACAGGACATGCAATAATTGCTAAATAACACAATCGAGCTACCAATCACAACAAGGTATTTAGAATTATAAATGAGTATTATTCAAATAACATTAAAACCTATCTGGGACTAGTTTAATACATATAATGTAACAACCAAACAAAAGAATTCATAATGGCGGGAATACAAACTGACACTGTAAACAAAGACTAACTATGCAACCTATTTCTATGTTATAAACTAAGACAGCTAATCAAACAGAGGATATACATAACTACTTTAGTCTAGAACATACTAAGATATAAATCATCAAGTAGAACCTACCTAACATGTGGCTAAATCGGCAGTAAGGAACATCTGACAACACCTGCCATGTGAGGGGAACTCTTTTACAATGCCTAAAATTAAAGCCCGGACTGACGGAAAAATATGTTCCGGCGCACTCTACTACATAAATAAAAGTGATATAATTCCTACAGCAATTCCGAAGTGGAATCAAGACTTATCTCCCTTTGGAGTGTCAGATATTTGTATAAAAGATGTTTTTAAAGTTTGTTTTAAGACTACTTCTGATTCTTCTGTACAGTGGTTACAATATAGAATTTTACATAGGATCTTCCCTGTAGATTCTTATCTTAAGAAAATCAATATAAAAACTACTGATGTTTGTAAGTTTTGTACCCAAAAAATGAAACTGTACTGCATGTATTTCTTCATTGTGACCATATTATATTTTTATGGAGGAACTTGAGTTTACATATATACAGAAAAATTTCAAAAAGAATTGCATTTAATGTTAAAAATATTATCTAATAGGTGAATTACCATTTACAAATGATAATAGAATTGAAAACTTCATGATATTATACACAAAACAATATATTTTTTCATGTTTATTGCAACCAAAATTACCTTCACTTCTTGGTTTACTAAGCTATTTGAAAATGAAATATAATATTGAAAGATGCATATCTATCAACAATTCAAATCTACAGTATTTTGAAGAACAATGGATTTTTTGGAAAAATATTTTTGAACAAATGTAAGATTACACATGTATATGTTAGATATTTGTTTAAATTAGTTTGCATGTTAGAGACAACTGATTATTATAAAGCAACCTTCATATTCATTTAAAATATAAATGGATGTATGGATGGGTGTGTGAGTGCTAAATATCCATTGTAATTTTGCTGTTATTCTAATTTGATTCTGTATGTAATACAATGGATAATTAAAAAAAAAAAAAAAAAATTCAGATTTACAAAAGATGGATGTGCATAACATTTACCCATAACTATAATAATATGTTCTTGCTGCTCTTGAGACAGATGTTTTTTTTCATATAGTACGGAACATCTTGTTACATGTATACATGTTAAAAATGTAAACAAAAAATATCAATCATAATTGCCACATCCTATGAGGCCATGATTTAGAAAAGTTTGAGTTGGCATTAACCTCTTAATTTTCTCTACCTGGAGAAGAATGTTTAATTATTTCTACAGTCCTCACTCTAAAAAGTCTTTGTGGCAGGTTTTGGCAAAATTATCAAAAAGATTCTAAAAAAAAAAAAACAAATAAAAAGTTTGCAAACTTAACAGAAGAGAAGTTCACTTGAGTTTTTGGCTCATATGTCTAAGAACCCGGAAAATATCAAATACACTGTATAATACTCATGCAGTGTATAAAAAATAATCAAAAGCAAATTTTAAAACAATTCAAAAGATGCATTATCAATCTAATTTGTTACAAACATGTTTCACAATTTTAAGAAAAATGCCGTTATCAATTGGTCTATGAATATAGAACCAAAGTAATAACTAAAAGTATTATTATGAAAACAGAAAAAAAAAAAAACTTCAAAACAATGCAGGAATATATGGTTTATAAACTATGCATAATCATTCATTAAAAAAATAAACATGCATCAAATACAAATATAGTACCTTGGTAAAAATTCAAATAATTCAACCTTTATGTTCTTACAACACCAAGTTTCCATTAATATTTGCTACATGTAGTTAGTCAGTTTCTCTCAAAAAATATCAAACTGACCTTTGACCTGATTATTGCTCAGGATCATGACATCATCACAGTCAAATTGACATCATATGGAAGGATGATCATCTACAAGAATTCCTTAGTAATGAGCTTCTCAATAACTAGTGTATAACTATGAATAATATACAATGTAGCAGAAAATTCAGTGATATTAATATTTTCATTAAAATATATCCATAGGTATCCAAACTTATATAAATTCTATATACATGTGTATAACTATCAAGCAAAGAATTTTTCAGTTATTATTCAGAGAATATTATATGTGGGTATGGAAGAGACTTTTGACTTTCTAAACAGAAAATCAACTGAACAACCAATCACTTAACTAGCAACCACAAAATCAACTGCCCCATATTTTCAAACATGGACACACATGTACAGCATTATCTAAATTACTGGTATATTGTGACAGACTGCCAAGGAAGAAAAGTGAAAAATTCAATAAAAAAATTAAAATTCTTTTTCAAAAAAGTCTTGTTTCTATTACATAAAAAAACCATCAATCACAATAAAAACTAAAACAAAAACAACACACAAAAAAAAAAAAAATTCAAGATCAATCAAGAGATATCATTTTTCACTTTAAAAAACTTTTTTCTAATACAAATTTTGGTTCAATGTCCCTTTATTTACATCACCCTGATCTTGTTCACTTTATTTAATAAAAATATCTTTAGTCACTATAATTTAAACATGCTATTGAACACATTATTAGTTTTGAACACTTATGGATAAACCTGAGATTTGTATACTTTATGACATACATGTATTAAAAGAATCAATAAATGTCTTTTAATTTTTTGCTTAAACTTTTAAAATATTTGCTACATGCAAGTAGTACCAATAGGGTTATTAATAAAATAATGCCATCCCACATTTTTACAAATCATTCAAAATTTTAACTAGAGTTTGGGCTTTAAACTACTTCTTAATTGACATACTTTGTAAAACACATTTCTTTTGGCCTTAATGAATAAAATAAATATAAACATTTGTCAAATATCTTAGATAGAAAAATGATGTTGAATTTACCATGCATCAGTTTATAGCACTACCAAAAAACAAAAAAAACAAAAAACAGGGAAATTGAAATAAGTAAACTATCACAATTCAACTGAAAATAAATAATAAATTTTCATATACAGTCTTGATGCCTGTAAACAATCAAAACAAACAAAATAATCAACATCTGACAATTCACAGAGCAGGGTTTCATGTAAATAATAAAAAAGAAAGGTCAACTACTAGTAGAACTTACTTCTATACACTAAAAAACAATCTAGTAACAAAGGCAATGAAAGTTTTATATACACGAAATAATAAAAAAATTTAATTTTTTTTTCATATGGTAAAATCTGGCAAGTATTCTTTGATACAGCTCTTTTTACCAAAACTAATCGAACAAACAATCTTGTGACATAAACAAAGATAAATTATCATGGTTATATTCATAACAGCTTTTCCTGCCTAGTTTCTTTCCTCGATCCTATAGACAGAATCTGAGATGACGTCATGCAGCCTCTCTCGTAGTGTGGAGCTATTAAGTAAGGCCAGACGCTCCAGGTTTTTGATTTTATTTTGGAATACTCGTGGAGACTCAACTCTCAAAGCGGGATTATTTATCTGGGTTGGTGTCCTCTTTCTCAGATTGTACTTGGATGATGCACTCTGTGTAAGACGAAAAGAAATAAATACATCAAATATACAAAGGCTACCAATACTTTACTTTAATATGTTGATTTTACAAATGCTAACTTTTTAAACAAAAAATATTTTCTAATATGGTAGTAAAACAAGAACGGTCACATGGATATTAATAAATACTCAGTCCTCATAAATTATAATATATTATACATATATCATGAGCATCAAATGATACATGTATCATAGAATGGACTTAAGACTTCAATATACTGCAAAATGCTTATTATTATAGGTTCATGTATTGTATCACCTTTTTCAAAATCAATACAACCTAACAATTACATATAGTAACAACTCTTAACTGACCTTAGAATCACCAGAAGTGGAAGGAGAGGGATGGGAACTGGCATCTACAATAAGAGAACCAGATTATTAAGTCTTTTTTCTTGCTCTTTAAATCTTTAGACATGATAAAATAAACAATTTCATTAGGAAAAAAATTCAAATCATTGAGTGCTAAGAAATTGTCATGTTATAAAATATTTCTAATTTAAAAAAGCACTATACCTTTATGAACAAAAAACAAGGAATGGGAAAAAATCTTTTTATGTTCATTGAAAAAAAGGTTCTTCAGTATATTAATTATCCGTCTACATCCACCTACCTCCATTTGGTGTAGTATAGTAACCAGTTTTCCTCCATTCCTCAATTCTCTGGAAGCTTCCTTCTCGGATTGGGGTGGAATTTCTCAGGAATTCCAATTCCCCCTCACCGATGTGTGATGATCCACAGTTACTGGTGGAGGCGTTAGAGTGATCTCCCCTGACAAAGTCTGTGGGATGTGGATGGTAACTGACGTCGGTGTAGGAGGACTCCTCGGATAAGTCGGATGAACTGCTCCAAGCGGAATCTGATTCATATCCTTCAGTACCTGTATATCAGACAGAATGTCACTCTCAATTTTTTTTTCTAAGGTCAATTGCCAAGATTAAATGTAGAATTGAAAAATAGGAAGAGGCCCAGCAATTGTAGTTCTTGGACTTTAAATTTTATTTATGTAAATTCACCATTCCTCTTTTGTCAGCCATGGTTTGTACAAAACTAAATCTGCAAAGCACCCAGTTTTACACATCGCAAGTTTGGTAAACTTTGGCCACATCTGATTTTGAGTGAATTAAGTAGACCCTTTTCCTATGACATATTTTGTCAAGTTATTTCCCTGCCGCCATTTTGAGTTCCCAGAATTATTCAACCAAGTTCAATTTGTTATTCTGGTTACTGAGGTAAAGATAATGATATTTTTCTTATGAATATACATTTGTTAAAGCATCTATTAATTTATGATTATAAGATTGTGAATATTTTGCCCCATATATTTCTTGAATGCATGTTTATATAAAATTGGTTACTAGAAGAGGTAAATTCACTACTTTGCCCTACAAGATGGCGGCTAAGGAGAATAACTCCTAGGCAAAACATGTCACAGGAAAAGGGTCTATTAAACATATGTGTTTTCCTTGCATATCATAATTAAAAGACGATACAAGAGATGAAATTCGATGGGATTGAGTCTCTTTTGAAGGACTCAGATGACCTATGCGCAATAAGTAGTTATATATTTCAATGACAAACTTTTAGAGTATGAAGCTATCTTACTGTCTGCAGCAGCTGATGTGTGGGTGTGGTGGAGAGGGGGTGTCGACGCCCGCCCTGGGCCGGTGGTGTGGGTGTGGTGGAGAGGGGGTGTCGACACCCGCCCTGGGCCGGTGAGGGCTGCTTCCTGTACACCTGGAAGGATGTGATCAACCTCATCTGAATTGTGTCCCCTTTCTTTGTAACCTAGAAGATTTTATAATAAACAAGAAAATTAAAAAAAGTAAATGTTTTAAAAAACTCCCTCAGTCAGAAAATTGAATTTAATTGCTTTTTTTAAAATAATTTTTTTCAGCATCTATATTGTCCTTATCAATTTACTAGGAATTATAAAATTCTTTAGAAAGTTTAACACCCTGCAAAGTTTAAGATTTATAAGCTTAGCAATTACACTTAATTATGCTTATTGATCAATAGACATAATAATAAATATAAAATGTAAACAATAAAATTCAGAATTACGTAGAAGTCTCAGCTCTGATTTGATGTCCATGAGGAGTTGATTGTTGACGACATTAAGGTCCCGGTATCGAGCGGCATGAATCACCAGTATGACCACCGCTAGAGATCCACTGACTTTACGACAGAAAACGTGCCAGCTGTAGGCAGACTCCTATGTGAAAATTATGAAACATTAACATTTCCTTAAACATTTGTTAAACAATGTTAAATAATACAATTTTGTTTTAATTTTTTTATTAATTTTTTTCTATTTATTTAATGTTATTACTTATGATGCACATCCATGCATAATGTATTAGTGTATATCAGTGCAAGCACTTGTCTAAGTTAAATGTCCATGAATTTGATCAGTTTAAATGGATCAAGTTTTTGGGTTGTTACAGTTACACTACAGTAATGGAAGTATGATTTTACTGTTCCACAATAGAATATACAGATTACTGTATAGTGTACTCATGTAAATCACTAAATAATGCACGTCACAACATGGTCCAATTTGTACTTGTACAGTGCATTTGATAACATTTATAGTCCAAGACTTTGAATCCAAAAGTTCTTTTATCATACAGCATGCACCAGACATATGATTTTAAGCCCTGTTAACATTACCTCAATATTTCCATCCTCTACGTAACCACTGGTGAACATGGAAATAATGATCCTCTCCATTATGATATTGAGAGTCACGATACCAAACATCCAGAATCTAGCTGCCGCAGTGCGGGGAGTCGATGTTAACAGATAAGATAACACTATAGACACAGTGTAATACACAATAGAGTAAAACCCAGAAAACTCTCCCAACATAGTCTTCTGAAGGTGGACGATCTTGTCAAATATATCGTTAATGAGAATTCGTTGTTTATCTGTTGTCTTCTGAAAATCTGACATAACCGCTGGAAGATTTTCGGACGATGAGTTGATAATATTGCTGAGGTTTGTTGACTGTTGGATGATGATTTCCTGGTTTTTGAGAGCCTCTCTCTGTAAGTCTGTTGTTGCTGCCAGATTCTCTGCCACTTCATCTGATGCCTGGCTAAGTCTGGTGATCGTATTCTGTGTATTTTCGTGCCAGATCTGAGACTGCAGAAAATAACATATGCTGTGGGTGTGCGTGAAGAAATTCGTCAGAGATGTTCTGTCTGACTCCGTAACATCCAGTAAGCACTCTTTCACGCTCATAGTCTCATCACAATGGTACGGGGACCTCCCCTGCACTTCTAAGAAGCAGTTCAGATAGGCCAGCGCTAGCCTGCTCTGAGTCACGTCTGTAAGATGTCTACAGCCCTCCTGTATCATGGCCACGGTGCTGGTCCAACATTTACCGTACTGTGGGTTCTCTGAACGTCTCTGTAGAACTTCGTACTGCGTTCTCCCCTCTTCGTATCGGGTCTTGTCAACCTCGTTGAACCCGACGCCACAACTCACTGACAAAAACAGAAACAGCAGCTCAAGAATCCATAACATTGTGTATACACCAGAGCTGTAAAAATAAGTTTTTCCTCAAAACGGTTGTAAGAGTTCGATTTTACGAGCGCATGTTACAACAAATCATGTCTCTTTTGAAATTTGATAACTTTTGACGTAATGTTACTTTCATTTTTCCATTCATTCGGAAGTCATCGCGACTTATCAAACGTCACGAATTCACGAGTAAGGCTTACCTTAAAAAGTCGAACTAAATGAATGAATGAATGAATGATATCGAATGAATGAAAGCGATGAATAAATAAATTCTGGTAAAGTTTTTGATTGGCTGAAAAGAACACACCTTCAAGATTTAAACAAATACATGATAAATCAGCAGAAAAATAAATAAAAATGTAAAAGTTATATGTTTAAAAGTTAAAACCGTTAGAAATGTTTTTTGCATTGTAAAATTAAAGTATTTCATAATTTTTTTGTAAGATATTGTAAAGAATTCTGAATTAATTTTAAAGTTGTAAAATACTTTAGAAAGATTAAAAAAAAGGATAAACTTGAAGTGTACAATCGATACCTTTGTTGTAACATCTAAACAATAAAATACTGTTATTTCTAAACTGAAGTTTAAAAATACAAAGTAACAATCAAGCAAAATAATATAATTTATATAAAAAGGAATTTTAAAATGAAAACAAGATAGCGCCCTCTGACAAAATTTAGCATTCTTTAAAACTCTCTGCTGGTCACAATTTAAAAAGCGTCCATGCAAGGAAAACGACTAATTCATGATAAGCCTTACTTTAAAAAGTGAAATAAATAAATCATTTTTAGTTTGGCTTTCCAAAGCAAACTAAATACTTTTGAAGAATTGTTCAAAAAATAAACAGTGGAATTTTACATTTTTCTATTAATGACAGAATATTTTTATTATTATTTTTAGGGGAATGGTAATTAGATATTGAACAGGAAAAGGGGTAGCTTTCAAACTCCAAAACACGTATGTTGTAAAAATAAAAGAAAGGTTTAAAATATATGATTTTTTCAAAAACCATTTATTTGGAGGAGACATGGCTATACTGTAAAAAAAAGTATGGATAATGGAGATGACTTGCAGTGAACATGCATTTACAACAGTGAAAGGTTTAAGGGCCAAGGATAATTAGTAGTAATGGCTTTTTAGAAAATATAATTTTCTGAAATTTTCTATTTAGACAATATAGATTTATGCTTATAGCATTTCAAACTGAACTATATATAAATCGTGTTTGATCTTTTATATGGAAAATCCTAAAACTCGCTGTTTTGCACGTTTGAGGAGAAACGTATTCTTTATTTAGTATGTGAAAGGATTATAATTTTCATATATTTGTTATCTAAAATTTGGAATAATTACATTTTTAAAAGAAAATTTGGATGTCAATTTAAAATATAGTTAATCATAAAGGAAAGAAAAAATGGCCATTCAAAATTTAATACCCTGTGAAAATCTATTCAGATAGAATCAATGTGTGGAATTCATATTTTTTTAAATTTTTTTTAAAAATCACATAATATTATTATAACTAATATATAATATTTAGCAGATGCATTTGTATTTGTTAATTTATTTAAAAACACATTTCATTTTATGAAGTTTTTCAACAGCTGAAAAAAATTCCACTTAGCGCAATACGATAGTAAAATATAAAAATCTTAAAATATATATGAATTTTAAAAATTATAGAAAAAATTTTTTTGCCAACCCTGAATATATACTGTAAAGTTTAAAATTGGAATATATTTTAATTTTGGCTTCATTTCAATAAAATAGAAAAGGTGATTTGATTACTTTTTAAATGCTATTAATACAATTGAAAATTATATGAAAAATGTTGCAAGTTCTTTTATTATAACCATCAAGTATATGATTAATAAATGTGCTTTAAAACTTTTAAAAACATGAAGCAAATATTCATAATTTTTGTTTTCATCAATAAAGTTAAATATTCAAATATATTCTTCTCAGAAGTTCTTATCCCCATACAATTTTGTTTTTGAAAAATGGCAATAGATTATAGAATGACAACCATAAAAATTACTTTTAATTTCATAACAGTTTATAGTAATTAAAAAGTAAATGTTTTCAACTTTGATATGTGTTTGTTTGATTTAGAAATTTGTGATTCAAAAGACTATTTAAATATTCCATTTGTTTTAACAACATCATTTACGCAGTAGCCTACGTGTAAACATGTAGATGATTAAATGAAAAGTGAAATATATTTTTCGAACACCATGAAAACAATCATAATAATTAAATTGTGTGTTACCAATTAATTAAAATAAAGAAATTTTTAAGAAGAAACTTTAAAAAGATATATCACAACAGGGACCTAATTGTTTACCGCTCTATATTTAGAAAATTTTTTTTCATCATAAAAGTTGTGATGCTGTTATATTTTCAACCTTCGTGATAGTAACACAGTCAAATTTGCCCTGATGATGAGTAATCATCCAGGAAGTAGACCATTTTTATGGCTTTACATCTGGGACCTCACATCCGAAATCAAACTTGACAATATTGTCATCTCTCGTAGAGATGTCATAAATATGATAATGTAAATGGGAGTAATAACAGTTGAATAAAAATAAGAAGTTTCCAATCAATGCAAAAAATAAGCATATGAATTAAAAGTATTTTTTGACAAAGAAATGATTAAAAAGTTTATGATTTTTTTTGTAGGATATATTTAAAGAATTTACTGTTAATTTTAAAGTTGTAAAATACTTTAGAAAGATTAAAAAAAAGGATAAACTTGAAGTGTACAATCGGTACGTTGTAACCCTTAACAATAAAATACATGCCGCTGCAAAACAGAACTAAAAATCATACGTTTAGTGCTCAAAATAAATCAATTTATATATATAATGATGAAATATCTCAGATAATTCTTATATATACATGTATTTGAAAAAAGTTTTTTTTTAAAAAAATGAGTTCTTTGTTATGATTCTCTGACACTGACATACAATTTCAGAATTTAATTGATTTGTCATTAAAAAATAAAAGGTAGCAATTTTTAATAATCAATGTTAAATAACTCTGAACGGTTACACCTATAATCATATTATATAGATTCATCGATTAAAAAAAAGGTCAATGATCATTGATGAGTGATCAATAAGAATTTATTGTTATCAAAATGAATATGAACCACGTGCTGATACCCTGGCTCTTGGTCACGTGATAATGCCCATGGTTTCTATGAAGTATGTTATGCTGCAAGCCGCGGTGCAAAATGTAAAAAAAAATCTTTATGTCATTTGCAGCTGTAGAGCATAATCAAAACAATTTTTACTAGTTGAAACATTTTTCAACTTTTATATATTGCCCTTTTACTTTAGGTCATTATTATCATGACCATGATTTCCTTACATATCTTACACACTCCCATGCAGGGTACATACATACACTGTATAAATATTTTTATATAGCCATAAATTATCAATTATATGATGAGAAATGATAATGAAATTGAAATATAATAACAAAAATTAATACTAAGTTTAAAGCAAGTTTTTAAAATATTTTACCCATGCATTTCACTTATCATTTCAGAATTATTTTATTGAACTAATAAAAAAAAGGGGGTAAGGATCTCATTTCCCCAGGCACTTTTTAACACAACCATATACATGTATTAAAAGAAATTTAACTGATCAATGAAAAAATGAGAGATAATGGACACATATATAATATACCCCAAAACTTATAATTAAAAAAAAAATCAGTTCTGATAGCACAGATACGAAATAATCAGAAATATTGGACAAAAAATAATAAACAATTAAACATACCAGAACTGTTTCAATAATCAATATTAAATAACTCTGAACCTGATACCTATAATCAATATGATGAGTCTCATGATGATAAAAAGATCTGACCCTGACCCCAAAGGGGTAGGATTTGGCTACAATTAGTGATCAAAGTTTTACAAAGGAATACATAAAACGCCTTTAAAAACTGTCTCTAGAAGAGCAAAGTCATGGTATATGTAAGTCAGTCATATTTGAGTGCAGCATCCCCGGATTGAGTAGGTTCAGGTGTGTTCAAATTATCATTCCCAGGAGTAGGATGAGGCCAACATGGACAATCATATATTTATATATTAGTTTACTTTATAGGAAACATTATTAGCAACAATAAATCCAATATTTACAATTTTCTATGGAAACTGTAATTTACGTCATACATACACTGTATAAATATAATTATACAAGGAGTCATCAACAAATCTAAAAATATCAGTACACATGTAGTTTTAAAAAAAAATAGACTAAAGGTTGAATTGATCAAAATGGCACACCATACAAAGTAATGATAAAACGAAAGGAGAACTCAATACCGGTACGTTTCATTTTTAGAAAATCTAAGCAATCGGAGCACATGTATTATAAATATTTTTACATTAAAGCGAACCTGAAAGGTAAGTAGTTATCGTACATGCTTCTGTCTAGTTCTGAAGTAGTGGATTGTTCGGTTGCTTAAAAGTTCGGAATTGGGTAACAATCCGTTTAAAATGAAATTCTGACCAAGTAAGTTTGACCGAGACAAGTAAAAAACTCAAGATATATACTTTGTTCTTCTTAACGTATTAAACTTAATTGCTTCTCTTATAAAAAAAAAAACTTGAACAGATCACTTTCAAGGTGTATAAAAGTTTTTTTTATCATCGTTTGCAACTTGGTAAGTACACTTGGTGAACACGCCCACTTTTGATATTTAGCATTTTGATCGAACATGACACTTCGTTTGCATGGAACACTTTGCTTCTCACAATCGGCCACTATTTAATTAGCAAAAACTCTAATAAAATATTCTAATAACAATGTTCTTGTGTGTTATCGCAGTTAAACCTGTATACCATGTGAAATATTAACTTAAGCCTAAATATTGTACCTAGGTTTTAGCAAAATCTAAAGCTAGTTTAAAAAAAAATGTGATCGTGAAACACCGATGCAACTGTATGCCAGCTAATGGCCAAGCCTATATTAATTTTTTGAAACATAAGTCGAACACGAGAGGTTGAGGTAAAATACTGTTGATTACTATAGATTAAGCTAGATCTTTTCACAAGGAATACACACAAATATGAAATTTAAGCATTATCCTTTGAAAACCTTTCAATTGACAAGGGTTATTTTACTTTTCATTAAAAATATAAAAGAAAGGCCAAGGTCGAATTCTTGGTATCTAAAGCTGATTTTTTTTTCAAAAATATAGTCATGCAAGTACTCCAACGTGTCAAGGTCGTGAGGTCAAACTTATTGAACGGTCTAATTATAATGTTACATAGAAAACATTTTTGAAATATGAAATATTTGAAATATATCGCGGGCACCAACTGTTCTAATTTTATGGTGAAGGTTATACTTTTTAAAAGAGTACGTAGTCAAGCTCAAAGGTAAAAAAATGGATTTGTGTAAGAAAGGAAAATTCCTCCTCTATCATCAAAATAATCTTTATTATTGAAAGTATTAATCTAAAGCATTGTTTATATATATATATCTGCATAGTAATACAAATTATGTTCAGGTCTCCTATTATTTCTGAACAATTAAAAAAAATATTTCTATTATTATTCCTTGTGCAAATTTTGACACGAAGGGATGTAGAAGATTATGCACACTTTTAGTTCTTAGAGGTAATTACTCTTTTAACATAATTATGTAAACATAGTAGAAAACCCTCTCACAGTGTTGAATCTTCCATTTTCCTCAATTTCTGTCTTGGCAAGGTTTTCTTTAAAAGAATTGATTTTGATTTCAATTGTCTTTTAAACAGAGAAAATAAGCAATGCCTGAGCTTCTGAAACGAACTTACCGTGAGCAGTTGGCCACCTGGATAGGAAAGACCTGTCACTTCCGGTTATTATACAAGATCAGCAGAGATGGATGTTCAGCTACAACATTCCACCAACAGTGTGACAATCAGGGACCTACAGTAACGGTTCTTTATAACACCAACAACACGATATTTGGGGGATATCTGTCACAGAACTGGAACTCCAGTGGCGGCAACATCAGTGATGCGAATGCATTTCTTTTCCGGCTGCAGTATAATGGTTCTTCAAATCCAGTTAAACTTCCTGTCAATGCTTCATATTATAATTATGCCGGCTCTGGCATTAGTAATTATGGTCCATCGTTTGGTGGCAACAGCGACCTCATGGCTTTTCAAGGGAATATTTCAAAGTCTGGAAAAGAATTTGTACTGAATGGCAGTGTAAGTCTGACGAGCGGGTACTATAATTACAATGGATATGATACCAACTCTATTACAAATAGTAATCTGAGGGTGACAGACCTAGAAGTCTACCTTGTTGTAGGTATAGTATTTTTATAGTATTCAATAGACATCCAATGGCATAAAAAACAAACCTCTATATTATGAGTGTAATTGCTAAAAGATTAGAAATAGTCAACTACATTGTAGTATAGTATATAATTCAAATAAATATTGTAGATGGACCTGGACCAAAGATTTCTGACAAACCTTGGAGAGAATCCCCTGAATGGAACACTGAGGTAAAATTGTACAAATGAACAAAGGTGTCAGTACCGGGGGCGGGGGCTATGAGGTGGGGGCTTACCTTTACCCTCTCCCACTTTTTACAAAGATAGATACCGTAAAGTTATTGAACATTTGGGCTTGTGTGTGTGCTGTCCCTTTAAACTACTAGTATCTTTTTATATCTCGTCATCTACTACCCCCGGTATTGCATAGAGAAAAAAAATCAAAGGGTTAAGTTTTGCTCATAATACTGAGTACTAGTATATGATATTTCATCGGACCTAAACACTATACGTAACCTGTATACTAAATCTTTTAAAGACCTGTCAGAAGCTGAATCAATCTCTCATCGACTACAAACCAATGACAGAGACAAATGTTACTACAGGCAACATCCTTCTGATTGGTCAAATTGGTGCGGGAAAGTCCAGCTTTTTCAACTCGGTCAACTCCATTTTCCGCGGGAAAATCACCAGTAAAGCTTCCAGTGGAAACTTTGAGCACAGCGTGACAACAGCTGTATGTAAACAAAATCGAATTCGACATTATTAAATGATAAATTATTTTTAATTATATTTATTCTTTTTTTAAAAAAATAATCCAAACAATTTAATTTTTGCAATAGATTATTTTTTTTTCAGCATGAATGATATTGAGCAAAGTAATCAATATTTCATTTCGTTTTCAATTATTTTTCTCATCATTTTAGTATAGAAAATACAAAATCAAGGATTTTTCATCTGGAAAGTTCCTTAATTTCCGCCTTTGTGACACCAGAGGTTTAGAGGAGGAATTTGCTATGGATGTGCAGGAAATCTCCTTCCTTTTGGATGGTAATATACCGGACCGATACCAGGTTTGTACTTATAAGAAGATCTGGTCAGAGAGATGAAGAGAGGAGTATTAAGTAAAAGCCCTTCATATGTCTATCCGTTTGTATGTAAAAAAAGAAAAAAAAAACAACTTATGAATATTAGACGTTTTATTTTACAGAGAAAGATTGCGCAAAACTCTTAAAGATATATAAAATAAATGGCTGTTTGACTCTTTTGTAGTTTAATCCAATGGTTCCTTTCACATCAGAAACCCCTGGCTACATAAAAGACCCGGATCTACAGGATAAAATTCACTGCGTGGCTTTTGTGGTAGATAGTAGTACTGTAGACGTAATGCCCGACAAAGTTCGCAAGCAGATGAAAGATCTACAAGTCAAACTGAATCAAAGAAGTAAGAATATATTAGGAAAAGATCACACAAAATGAAAAAAAAATTATGTCAACATGCAACAATAATATCATAAGTAAAAACATGAAAAATAAATATTTCTACATAAAAGAAATCATGTATAATCATTAATATTACCAATCTTCTTAGAGAATTTGACTTAAGTCTTGGTGAATTTATTTACAAATCCCTGTAACTTGAAAAATGTTCTTTGAAGGTAAATTAGAACAAATCTATAAAAGGTTTACAATGCTTTTTAAACCCTTACCAAGTAATGGACTTATGCGAGAAGCACTGACTTTTACAGTTGATGTTTTACTTAGACATAAAAACCTGTATCATGTACGGAGGTACATAATTGATGATCGAGAAGAAAGCCTTTTAGTGGTCATAAAAATGATGTAGGGGACACTAACACACGAAGGTCGGAAGTTGATGGAAGGATGGTTGTCGATTTCTTCAATTGTACTTATTTGTTCTGGGAAATAACTTGCTATATTCGTTTAATTAAATGTTGAGCTAAATATTCATATCGTAAAAGAGCTTCCGTACATTGCACTTGTACAAAAAAAAATGTGGATGTATGTATATATTCTTTCTCAAATAAATCAAAAAAGTAAATAAAAAAGAGCAAATATAACTCTAATGAATTACGTAGTTATCATTCAATGTATCATTAAATACAGATTTGCCACAAGTTGTTCTCCTGACTAAATTAGACAAAATATGTCCTGAAGTGGAAGAGGACATCAAGAACACATTTTCGAGCTCTGCCGTTTCTGACGCTGTTGTAAGAGTTGCAGAAATCATGGGTCTTCCTCGTGGTCACGTGCTTCCGGTGAAAAACTACGAAAGTGAGACCAAGCTGAAGACAGGCGTGGATATTCTTGTGATGGAAGCGCTACAACAGTGTCTTGATTTTGCAGACGATTTCATGGATGAACAACTTGACAAAATGGCTACAGATGGAAAGTTGAAAAAAGAAAAAGACTGAGTCTGCCATTGTATTTACAGCTAGATGTAATAAATGAGCAAAAGAGGTTCAGCGCTAGGGCTTTCCAATTTAATTTTGCATAAACAATGTATAATACTAAGAATGAAATTCTGTAATAAATATATTCAATAGCCACACAAATCTTATGCAGTTTTTCATTTGATCAATTTTTTTTTTTTAAAAAGTAGACGGTCTGTGCATTTTATACATTGCAGGCACGTAGCAACGGGAGGGGGGGGGGGGGGGGGGGCCTGGCCCCCCACTTTTCCCCCCCAACATTACCTTTACTATAGAAAATGTCCATTGAAGAAAATGTTGCCCCCCCCCCCACTTTTGACCACAGTATATTTATAGCAAGGAAATATGGGAAAAAATTGGAAGTGAAAGGAAGTTCGCCTTGAAAAAAGTTGGCCACAACTCTCCCCCCTTTCAAAAACGATGCTACGTGCCTGCTTTGTTATTATCAATTTAGGAACTACAGGTTATTCTGTACCTCCAAATATAAATTTCAGTTGCCTTTCACTTACTCCAAATAACAATCAAACATAATAGATTTTTATAAGGAATGCAATGTAATCGTTTTGTATGGAAAAAACTACTCATTATGTAAAGAGATAACAAACAGATGTTACACCGAGTTTAGATGAGTTATATTAAATAGACGAACTACTAGTAGATTATCTGACTGAGTCTGAAATGAAGAAAAGTGTAAATTCAAAATACAAAATTATGATGAAAATGGCAGGCCATACAATTCAACACAAAATCGAAAGAAGACTTTTTTCAGAAATACTTAATAATTCTTTTTTAAAAAACCCATTTTCCGAGAAGAGGAAATGAAACCATGTCAGGTAAGTTTATCGTGATTAGACGTTTGATTATAAGGCAATTTTATAAGTTGTCTTTATTTTACGAGGAGGTTGTTTATTTTTGATACAATGAAAATAAGCTATTGATTAAAAAATAAATTTCAACTAAGAAAAAAATGATAGGTATCTTTTTCTCAAGCTGCCATGTCATGTGAAATTTGCCATACTGAAAATCAGGAAAGTTCAAGTTCTAACTGCTGCATATTGTATAGGAATTCAATCCCTAAAAGGAAAAAAAAAATCATGAATACATAAAAGATTGTAGGTATTGAATACTCAATTTATTTAGACATACTTCCCATTTATTACTATCAGTATGTACAGTGGGATGTATCCTAATTTCTGAAATTGAATTTTTGTAAGAGTTATCTCCCCCTTTTTAATTAATGAAAAAAATCAATTGAAAAATTTCAGCCAGTAAAAAGAAATGGTTTTCAATTGTCATTGTATTTTTCATGTTTCAATGCATCTTTCCACAGCAGGATTTATTGATATTCAAATTATTTGAATTTTTATTTTGAAAAAAAAAACTGCTTTTCCCCATAGACTTCAATGCATTCTTTGTTAATTAACTACTGTTTAATGGAATTTTTTCAACTTTCTCGTAGGAAGTCCTTTTCCACTATAATTATAAAATGTTTTAATATAATATCAGAGTATTATGCACTTGACGGACATTTAAGGGTAGGGAATTTGGTCCTATTAGGGATGGAAATCCATAATTTATTAACTAAAGTACAGTGTAAATGGATATCGTATATAATTTTCAAGAATCTTAGATTAAGAGACCTCCATTTCATATTGAAGTGGTAATGAATATATTCAAGATTAATTTTATTATTGTTTAGTAATCCAAAAAGTACCAATTAAAATTCCCCCCCTCCTATATTTATGCAATAATTATATAAATATTAAATTGATTTAAAGTGATATAGTACATGTAATAGTGCATATTAACTATTTGTTGTAGAGGAACGGAGAGTGAAAAATTGTATGGAACTTTGGAGAGAACCACCAGAGTGGAGCGATGAAGTAATTTTTTTTGTTTTGACATTTACATTAAACAAACACAATGTTTGCATAAATAGACACCACTCCCTACTGTCTTCATTTCAGGTTAATATTAAGGCTTTTTACAAGGACTAAGTTTGCTACACATGTGAATACATATTGAAATTACAGTAACTGAAACATTTTTTGAATTTTTTTTTCTGATTTTGTCGTCTAGCAAATGTTTCGATGATTATTTTCAGCATACATGTATAGTCCTTAATGAATTGATAAACTACTCAACTGACAATTATATGCCCTTTCTGCTCAGGATCAATAAAAATATGCCCTATTATAAAAGGATGGGTTTATTTATTTAAAAATAATAATCGAAAACCTTTTTAAAATTTACTTTCTTGACACTAAGCAAGCAAAGAATGTGATTTTGGTCAATAATTAAAGAACTTCAAGGTACAATGTACAGTTTCAATACAAATAAAGCCCTATATTTTTATGAAATATGAAAGTGATATAAGAAATCAAAATTAATTCTTTCTGAATCATAGGAATTCTCTGCCGTAAGTATACACAAATGGTTTTTCTCAAATGACCTCCTAAATGCCAATTGTGACGTCATTAACTTGAGCATTTTCCCGTATTTTCTTAAAAAGTTGCAGAAAACCTCAATTTTCAGTGGAATTTTTCTTTCAGAAATCATACTCTGCCACCGTCGCAGATTAAACCAGAACGCTGTAGAGGAAGATTGTGAAGATTTTGAGATATGTGATTTTTTCATAGCTGTTTGCATAATATATCCAAAAATTAAAGCGGGCGACGGTGGAAGACGCTATTTTCTAAAGGAAAATTAGCAGAAAAACGAGTCATTTTGAAGCTTTTCTGCATTGAACTTGAAATTGTACCAAATTAATGACGTCATATTTTCAAGAAAGGCTCTTCTTCATGCCACATTCTTTGATTTATCAAATTCATCCACTCAACTATTGTTAAAGCCAATTTAATAACTTTTTAAGAGAATTTTAAATTTTTAGTGCACAATAAAGCTTAAACCGTAACGTCTTCTTATTGCTATTGCATTTATATACATTTTTTCTTTATTTATTCATTGATAGTGAATATGAATATGTTTAGAACATGAAAATTGACAGTTTGGTAAACTTCACCAAGAAAATATAACTTTTGTATCGAATCAAAAGTAAAATTTGGTAACTTGACAAAATATTTAAAATATGTATTTTTTCTTGACAATAATTTTTTTTTTCTAAATGAAAGATAAGAATCCAGAAAAAAGAAATGCACGTTTGTTTTATATTTAAAGATAAAAGTCTCTTTAAAATAGAATTGTATTGACTTGATAGATAATTTATCTTTGATACAACGATACATATACATGTAACTCAATGAAAAACTAGAGGTACTGTGAGCGATGACCTCACTAAATGATACCCCCCGCCTCCATATAGTTATAATGGCAAAGTCCATGTTTTGCTGTGGCCGTGAAACCCAAAATATGTGTCGGATCAAAAAGTAAAATAGGAGGTGCACAATGGCAATATGTAAAAATGATTCTCTGAAAGTTTTATCAAATTTCATTCAGTGGTATGAGAGGAGTTGCGGATAAGAGATGGGTACCCCAAAGCGTAACGATTACTATATACCCTCCCGCTTTTCAAGCGGGGGGTATAAAAAATCTATTCAAATTCTGGTTGCTTGATGAATCTGCTAAATATTGTAGTAAGGATTAATTCAAATGATTTTGAAATAGCAACAAACTTTATTCAAAATGTGGTTTCAGCAAAAACGCCTAAAGATAAAATGCACGAAATCAATGTTGCACAATGTTTGGTGTTCAGAATCGGACTTTGTGCTATTTTCTGTAAATCTCAATTCTAGTATTTGCACACATTTCCTGACATTTCTGAAAGACTTTGCAAATTTTCTACATCTATTTTAGATAACATTAATTAAGTTATCAATATGAGAATTTTCTTTTTAGACGTATTGATGATTTCTGAAATAAAGATTTTGTTTATCTTTAAGTCTTATTGCAACCTGAAGAAATCGCTCGTGGATTATAAACCACTGCCAGGGACAAATGTGTCTGCAGCAAACATTCTTCTGATTGGTCAAATTGGAGCAGGAAAGTCCAGCTTTTTCAACTCGGTCAACTCCATTTTCCGCGGGAAAATTACCAGTAAAGCTTCCAGTGGGAGCTTTGAGCACAGTGTGACGACCGCAGTATGTCTACTATATACGGTTTTTTTTATGCTTTAAATCAGAATAGTTCTTACTGGTGATGGCAAAAAGGGATAGATATAATACCTTTTTTAAAACAACACTCTCATGTAATTTATTTCGAGGACATTCGGTATGGTGATTACTTTGCAATGAGTGTCAATGGTGGTAATGTAATGAAAACCAAGGATTTCTATTTTCTGGAAGCATAATATATAAGGATCAACATGCTTTTTTCAGTTCAGAAAATACAAAATCAAAGACTTTACCTCAGGAAAATTCCTTAACTTTCGTCTGTGTGACACAAGAGGATTTGAGGACGAATTTGAAATGGATGTACAAGAAATTGCTTTTATTCTGGACGGTAATATACCGGATCAGTACCAGGTTTATTTTCTCTTGCTTCTAAATCAACTTCAAAAGTTTTAAATGCATCAGTAAAATCTGATGTATCTTTTATTGATAAATTATTTTGTTTTCATTTGTGCATATTTCAAGGTCGATTACAAATCTAGATGTTGGTCTCAAGTATTGTTTCGGCGGTAGAATTTAACAAATGTTCAAATTTGAAACCATTTGATTTTAATTTAATTTAGAAAATGTAGAATATTTTTCTGTATCTTTTCTTTTTATTTCAATCAACACTCTATGCTCTAATATTTGAGAGAAAAGTCATGATATGTCAAATAAAGGATATCATGCACAATATTTAATGTACTCATTTTGTTAAAAAAAATTGAAAAAACAACTGCCAGATTGCTGTGGCCTAATTTAGACTGATCATTTGTAGTTCAATCCCATGGTTCCAATGTCATCAGATAGTCCTAAATTCATAAATGATCCGAATCTACAGGATAAAATTCACTGCGTAGCCATTGTGGTAGATGGAAGTACCATCGACGTTATGCCTGAAAAAGTCCGGAAACAGATAAAAGATCTGCAAATCATTTTAAATCAGAGAAGTAAGAAACAAACTAAAATTAATTTCAACAAAGTAAGATTAATGTCATCGAATGATCGCAGGAATAAGTCTCAAGCTAAGTTTCTAAATGACATTTCATTTTCGTAATTCTTATGAATAATAATAAAAGTTTAGAGAATATTTTTTAAAGGAGAATATCTCATCTCTATATCATACTTAGGTGTACATGTACAACGTCTGAATCCGAATCAAAATAAATAACACATGATATTAATGTTTTAAACTACATTTTGACGGCTCATTTTATAAATATAGACATGCCACAAGTCGTCCTGTTGACCAAATTAGACAACATATGCCCGGATGTGGAGGAGGATATCTCAAACACGTTTACAAGTACAACTATTGCTAAAGCTGTGAAGAAAGTGGGAGAAATTATGGGACTTCCACGTGGTCACATTTTCCCGGTAAAAAACTTCGAAAAGGAGACTAAACTGAATATTGGTACCGGTATTCTTTTGATGAACGCTGTACAACAGTGTCTTGACTTTGCGGATGATTTCATGGATGGGCAGCTTGATAAAATGGATGCCGAGGGTAAAAGGACAAGAGAAAAGACTGGGTACACGTGTACTTTGTCTTAAGGATCGACAATGTGTGTTTTTATCAAAACTTCAGATATATAACGAAGAATGTGACTGTGAAAAAATCAGCATTTGAATACTCATGCTTTATTGTAAACCAGAGTAATAAAGTTTTGTTGTCCTAATATTTTGATCCAGTAGAGTAAATGGAAATTCTCCTTACTTCATTTTGAGGATTTCATAAAAAATATTTCTATGATATCTTGTTTCTTTTGTCTCTTATGATGCTACTAGTATTTTATTCTTCATTGCACCAAAAATAGATAGCAAATGTAAAACTGATACTGGTTATGCTTATGCTAACTCCGATTCTCTCACCATGATTGGCAAGGACTTGGGCAACTGTAAACAACAAATTTGACATGCATGCTTATTAAGTATGTATCAATTTGATTGTTGATAAAACAATCATTGCTGTTCTTGCTGTTATATGATGGTTTTCCACACCATCGAAAATCAATTCCACCTCGCCCTTTGGTATAGATAAATCTTCTTCTCCTCCTCAAAATTCTGAATAATCGTATTGACCTTAAAATAGCAAGAATTGTATAATGCAATGAAATAAAAAAAAATATCTCCAATTTATTCTCAATTAAGCTCAGGTAAGCATTTTGGCCAGAAGGTTTCATTTTCTTGCCCCCTAAAAATTTAAACTTTTATCCGCAAGGGGGCATTGTTCTACGGGGTCATTTTTCTTCACGTTAGGTATGCAAAGTTTGAGAGTAGCGAAAAATGACTACCGGACATTATTCTATGGGGTAATTATTTGTCTTTACACCGGCTCTTACCGTGCCGAATAGTTAAGACCTGAGAAATCGGCGAGCCCGGCCACTAACCTTCCCTGGTCAAAGAAGTAAAAAGCCGGGTTATAAAAGGTCAAGTGACGCATTCGGCGAACGCAGGTTTGACAAATGGAGACCCACCCTTAATATTAAAATGCAAAATGATCGACATGGTTCACCATACAGTGTAACGCAAACGAAAGAAGGAAATAAATTTAAAAAAGCCATTTCAAGGGAATCGAGAAAGCATGTTAGGTAAGGTATCTCGTGAAGAGCTGTAAGGTAAGAACTGTTAACAGTTGAGTTAATTTACTGAGAAAGTAAGTAAGTCAATGAAGGAAGCTTTGAAAGATGAATGCAAACCTTATTCCTCCTAAAATATTCCATCGATGTGAAGAAGGTTCAGTAGACTGTGTAGTGTTCGTTTATAATCATGTACAAATATTTTTTTTCTCTTTTAAGGGTGGTAAGTTTTTGGTAATGTTTCTGGTACTGAGTAAAAATGGGTCAGATGTGGTTTTGGTCTACGAAACATTAAGGAGCAAAGTTGTTTTCAAATATCAACCAGAAAAATGACAAACCTCCCAGAATGAAGCAAACAATGAAATAAATGTATGCACAAATATGTTCACAAGTTATTTATTGTTTAAATGTAATCATCTGCAGATAAATATAACTAAATATAAATTTTCAGATTAAATGAAATTATTCGATACTGCAAGAGATTACTTGTTTTAAACATATATACCGCATTCTACATTTTTGTCGATGCAAGCTGCTACACAACAATTAACAACTGTCGTCACGGTTGGTAGAGTTAAGAAGAGATACAATCGATTACAATGTGATTATGCATCTAAAAGTCTAACAAGCCAAAAAAAAAATCGTCAGCACACGACTTAATACATTATATATATATGAAGGTCTTTCGGCTTACACCGTGAACTTTTAAAGTCTAACAGAAGTTAAAGTACTCCAAGCTATTCAAGCGTATATTGACAAAAAATAATCAGGTCAGCTGTGCTGAAAGAAGCACTATAGTATTACTTCATTATTAGCAGGACATCTGTTTTGTCATGTGCAAGAAACCTATACTACAATCATATTTATTCGATGGAATATTGCTTTTTTGTATATTTTCTTTCACAAATCCTTAATATTGACTTATTTACGATAAATAAATTTGAGAACGCTTGAAGGTTCATTTCTAGAGAGCCTAACACACGCATATTTATTTTCTATCAAAGTGCTGTAAAAATGGGGTTCTACTTTACATATATTATTTTTTACATCATACCTTGGTATATCATATCACATGGCTTTGGTGATGACATACCAGAATGTTGCCCCAAGATGACAAGAAAGCACTGTAGTGTTGTGTCACCGATGCAGATTTTTAAATGAAATTAATTTTAAGAGCAGTAAAGTAGAGAAAAATAAATTTCCATTTCCATTTCCAATTGCTTTCCCTATGATAAACACAACAAAAGTCAATCTTGTTAATTCCTCCGTGATTCCTGTGGCAAGTAAGTTTCTCTATTGAAATACTACTGAAAGGTCAAATGTCAAATTGCATACAATGACTGGCGTATAAATACACTGGGGAAAAAAAAGATGCTTCTTTTATTGTTTACTAAAAAATTAGATATGATATATCTTTTTACAAACAAAATAAATATAATGAATTATCTCCGGATCGAAAGCAAGTTACAAGTCCGAATCCCCGAAACCTGGCGAGACCGAGAACTCCACTTTCGTAAACATGGTAAACAGTCCATCTGAACCACGTGGGGAAATCAGCATCGCCACATACATATATATCTGCACTTCATTATCTGATACAGACATCGTCCCTCAGTCATTACTATCCGACTTCTTAAGCAACTTAACTTCATCTGTTATTTCAACATCCACATAAATATGTTTACTGACCATGCAGCATGATGCTGACAAACTCCCGTTTCTTCAACTGCAACACTGCATTCAATATGGCGACAGAGAAGCGACCTAGGGCCTATACACGTGTTCGTGCCACCAACAACCCAAGTCTAGGTCACGTTTATAATTAAAGTTAACAAGATTGCTTTGAATTTAAAATTCTTTTGTTATTCATTCTATAAATGTTGATATTTTGCTACAGTAACTAAATAATCATTTAATTTAGTAAAATTTGACGTCATTGGGCGGGTCAATAGAAAATAATATAGAATGCCTCGTGCATTGCAAATCTACTAATTAGACGGTTTTCCGATTTATTTTAAGATTGTTGTTTCAAGTAAAATGGAAATATAAGGAATGTCTGTCTAGTTAGGAGGCTATGCCAGGGACATCAACAATAGTGGAAAACATGGGATAATTTTAAACGACTTCGCCGGTTACGCAAATTATCCCATTTTTTCCACTATTGTTGATGCCCTGGCATAGCCTCCTAACTAGACAGTGATTCCTTAAATCAACTATGCCATCAAAATGGATCTTGCATTTAGTCTTGGTTTGAAAAGTTAAGATAAATTTTATGATTTTTTTTTTCAGTGGTAAAACGGAGAATTTAAACCATGCCTGAACTTTTGAAGCAAAATTACCGTGAGCAGTTGACCATCTGGATAGGAAAGACATGTCACTTCCGGTTGTTGTACAAGATCAGCAGAGATGGATGTTCAAACACAACCTTCCATCAGAAGTGTGACGGTCAGGGTCCTACGGTAACGGTTCTATACAACACTAACAACACGATATTTGGGGGGTACCTGTCACAGAGCTCGAACTCCAATAACAGTTAAATCAGTGATGCCAGGGCATTTCTGTTCCGACTGCAGTATAATGGTTCGTCCAATCAACTGAAAGCCCCTGTCAATAGCTCCAATTATGATCAGGCTGGATTAGGGAATCAAGATCATGGTCCATCCTTTGGATGCAATAGTGATTTACGGACATTTAAAGGGAATATTTCAAAGTCTGGAAAAGAGTTTGCATTGAATGGTTGTCTGAATATGAATAACAATAATAACTTCAGTTACGGCGGGCAGAATACCAACTCTATGACAAACAACAATCTGAGGGTTACAGATTTGGAGGTCTACCTTGTCGTAGGTACAGTTTCTTTTTTTCTTTTTTGAGTTTCGAAATTTTTTTCTTGAAAAATATAAAAAAATCTTTTCCATATTAACATTAGATGGCCAAGGACCAAAAGTTTTTGATAAACCTTGGAGAGAACCTCCTGAATGGAAAACAGAGGTAAAAATACTATTTATCTCATCTGAAGGGTTCTTTTTTACGCATGGAAACTTTAAATAATATTGATAACCATTAATTGCAAAAAAAAAAAAAAAAAAAGAAAAAAAAAACTCATCCCATTCTTAATATGTAATTTCTAAAAATATCTGTTAAGGGCACTTTTTCTAATATATCTTTATCTTCATCCAAAATAAATAAAAGAATAAAAAATTTAAAAAGAATTAAAATAAAAACTACCTTTTATCTGATTAGGGTGCAAAAAATGATATTAAATGATAACACAAAGCAATAAAAAGGAGCTGCAAAACATTTCAAAGTACACAACATATTCTCGTGTTTAATTAGATTATAATTACATTTTTTAAAGACTTCTGAGAAACTGAGGCTATCTCTGAATCTAGGTCATCTGACTGAATCTGAAAAGAAGAAAAGTGTAAATTTAAATGGCAAAATTATTATCAAAATTGAAGGCCATACAACTCAAGACAAAATCGATAGAAGAATTTTTTTTTTCAGAAATAGCTAATATTAAAAAAAAAACATTTTCCGAGAAGAAGAAATGAAACCATGTCAGGTAAGCTTTTCATGATTAGACGTTTGATTAGTGCAATTTCATAAGATATCTTGCTTTTATGAGGATTTCATTTATTTATTTGATATGATGATTGATTGATTGATTGATTGTATGTTGTTTAATGTCCCTCTTGAGAATTTTTCACTCATATGATATGATGAAGATGAGCTATTGATGAAAAAAGTCAATTTTGATATAAAAAATGATGGGTATCCTTTTCTCCTAATGCATAAAAACCGCCATGTCTTGTGAAATTTTGCCCATGATACTGAAAATTGGGAAAGTTCTAACTACACATAGTATAATATACAATGCTATACTATACTACATATACTATTTACATTTTAACTACTAGATATAGTATATAACTGACAATAATCTAAGATTAAGAGACCTCCATTTCATGTTGAAGAGGTAATGAATGCATTCAAGATTAATTTTATTATTGTTTAGTAATCCAGAAAGCACCAATCAAAATATCCCCACAAAATATTCATGCAATATTTAAATATTGATAGATTTGAAGTGATATACATGTAGTAATAGTGTTTATTAATTTTTGTTGTAGAGGAACGAAGAGGGAAGAATTGTATCGAACTTTGGAGAGAACCACCAGAATGGAGCGATGGAGTATTTTTTTTTGTTTTGACATTTTTCATCAAACAAACGCAATGTTTGCACAAATAGGCACCACTCCCTACTGTGTCTACATTCAGGTTAATTTTAAGGCTTTATACAAGAACCCTTCAGATGAGACAAGAACCAAGTTTGCTTTACATGTGAATACATAATTATTGAAAGTACAGTAACTCTATAATAAATAATATATTTGAAAATTTTCTTTCTGCAATTTATCGTCTAGCAAATGTTTCGATGATTATTTTCAGCATACATGTATAATCATTTAATAAACTTAATAAACTACTCAACTGACAATTATATCCCCTTTCTGCTCAGGATCAAGTCCTATTATAAGGGGATGGGTTTATTTATTTACAAATAATAATCGAAAGCCTTTTTTTTTTTTTTAAATTTACTTCCTTAAGCTTGAGATAAGACAAGCAAAGAATGTGATTTTGGACAGTAATTAAATTTATTGCTATTGCATTTATATGCATTTTTCTTGATTTATTCATTGATAGTAAATATGATTATGTTTAGAAACATGAAAATTGACAATTTGGTAAAATTCACCAAGAAAATGTAACTCTTGAATCGAATCAAAAGTAAAATTTGGTACCTTTTTTAAAATATCATTTTTTTTAAAAGTTTCTTTTTCTTGACAATGAAATTTTTTTTCTAAAATTGATAAAAGTCTGTTAGTTTTATCTTTATCTTAAAAGATAATTTATCTTTGATACTACGATATTTAAACATGTGACTCAATGATAAAAAATCTATTCAAATTTTGGTTGCTTGATGAATCTGCTAAATATTTTAGCAAAGATTAATCCAAATTATTTTGCAATAGCAACAAACTTTATTCCAAGTGTGGTTTAAGCAAAAACGCTTAAAGATAAATTGCACAAAATCGATACATGGTGCACAAAATTTGGTGTTCATATGTGCGACTTTGTGCTATTTTCCGTATATCTAATTCAAGTATTTGCACACATTTCTTGAAATTTCTGAAAGATTTTGCAAATTTTCTGCATCTATTCTACATAACATAATGAGGTTATCAATATGAGAAATTTTTAGAAGTATTAATGATTTTTGAAATAAATATATTGTTTATCTTTAAGTTTTATTGTAACCTAAAGAAATCGCTCGTGGACTACAAACCATTCCAAGGAACAAATGTGTCCGCAGCAAACATTCTTTTGGTTGGTCAAATTGGAGCAGGAAAGTCCAGCTTTTTCAACTCAGTCAACTCCATTTTCCGTGGGAAATCACCAGTAAAACTTCCAGTGGGAGCTTTGAGCACCGTGTGACGACAGCTGTATGTCTACTATATACGGTTTTTATTTTGTTTTAAATCAGAATAGCTTTTACTGGTGATGGAAAAACGGGATAGGTATATCACATCTCTCTAAACAACACTTTCGTGTTAATCTATTTCAAGGACATTCGGTATTGGGATTACTTTGCAATGAGTGTCAATGCAGATAATGTTATGAAAACCTACGATTGTTTTCATTTTCTGTGAGCAAAATATATAACATCAACATGCTTTTTTCAGTTTAGAAAATACAAAATCAAAGACTTTACCTCAGGGAAATTCCTTAACTTTCGTCTGTGTGTCACGAGAGGATTCGAGGACGAATTTGAAATGGATGTACAAGAAATTGCTTTTATCCTGGATGGTAATATTCCAGATCAGTACCAGGTTTGCTTTCTCCTGCATCTATTTTAACTTAAATAAAATGTAACCAGTGGATAAAAGTTGTACTGATAAATTATTTTGTTTTCATTTGTGCATATCTCAAGGTCGATTACACATGTTCGTCTAAAGTATTGTTTCAGAGGTAGAGTTTAGATATTCAAATTTGAAACCAGTTCATTACTTTTAATCTAATTAGAAAATGTTTTTTTCTCTTGGTCACTTTTTTGCCAAATAAAGGATATCTTGCTCAATATTCAATGTACTCATTTTGTAAAAAAAAAAATGTCATGATCATTGATTGTAACAGAAAATGGGACAACTGTCAAATTGCTGTGGCTTAAATGAGACTTATCATTTGTAGTTCAATCCCATGGTTCCAATGTCATCAGATAGTCCTAAATTCATAAATGACCCGAATCTGCAGGATAAAATTCACTGTGTAGCCATTGTGGTAGATCGAAGCACCATCGACGTCATGCCTGAAAAAGTCCGTAAACAGATAAAAGATCTGCAAATCATCTTCAATCAGAGAAGTAAGAAACAGACTAAGATAAATGTTTTAGAATGATTTTAGAAATAAGAGAAGTCTAAGGTTTCATATAAAACTGCCATTTTTAATTTTTTTATGAAATCAATAATTAAAGTTAAAAAAAGGTAAATATATTTCTAGAAATATCATCTGATTTCGTATGTCATATATAATTAAAACTTTAAAAGTTTTTCAGAGCCAAAACTAATAACATATAAAGTGAATGTTTTAAATGACATAAATGTATTGTTGATGTCTTATTTCATAATTATAGACATGCCACAAGTCGTCCTGCTGACCAAACTAGACAATATATGCCCGGATGTGGAGGAGGATATCTCAAACACGTTTACAAGTACAACTATTGCTAAAGCTGTTAGGAAAGTTGGAGAGATTATGGGACTTCCACGTGGTCACATTTTCCCGGTAAAAAACTTCGAAAAGGAGACTAAACTGAATATTGGTGCCGGTATTCTTTTGATGAACGCTGTACAACAGTGTCTTGATTTTGCGGATGATTTCATGGATGGGCAGCTTGATAAAATGGATGCCGAGGGTAAAAGGACAAGAGAAAAGACTGGGTACATGTGTACTCTGTCTTAATGGCAATGTGTTCTTTATGATTGAAATTACAGATATAAAACGAATAATTATTATCAAAATAATCAGCATTGTAATGCCCTTGTGAAGAAACTGACGGTACTATTGCTTTCTTGTAAATCAGAGAAACACATTTCTGAACTACGAGAGATGTAAAATTTTGTTACTGCCAAGTTATGCTTTGATTAGTCATTAAATAGTTGCTAGGGAAAGTAGTTTTAAATTATTCTTTTTGATTTTTTTTTTGAAAAACTAAATATTGTGCAGCAGAAAAGATTTATGTCAAAATAACTGGTGTAACACAAACGCATTTTATTGTTCATAAGCATGTAAAGTCTGGTTTATTATCCATCATTTTTAATTATCGATAAATCCAATGAATTTTTAATGATGATGATATGTTAATTATTCACTTACTAAATACTTAATTGTAATAGATACTTTTGGACACAACATACCATATACTATACATGGATACGATACATGTACTTGATTTTATTTCAAGAGTAATATGTATGTATGTGGGCATCAATGCATGGCAGATTGGATGAAAGGTTGCAATATATGTAAAAAAAAAATAAATTCAGTGACTGAGAAAAGCCTTAATTCAAACTTAGATAAAAACGAATAGATAAAACGTACAGTGTATACAAGGTATAAAAAAATGATGATAAAATACAATTCTAAAATTGCTTTTGATCGAATAAAATAATTATATAAAAATGTCATTTGAAACACATACATGTACATGTACACCACATGAAATTAAATATCTCTATTCTCTGTTTATGGTCTTGAGCCTAGGTCTATAAGTGTCCCGAAGGTAGTATCGTATTTATTGCCCTTTTTAAATAAGGAACGCCTCTAAAGCAATTTAAATCTTTTGTCAACAAAGCGATCATATCGAACCATTTTTTAAAAGTCATACAAACCTTGATTTTCTGAAAACATCATTTAATCTGATGGCTTTGAAAGAGCATATCCGTTCCTGGAAAGGAAAGAAAACAAAACTTAAAACAAAGCAAAACAAGATGCAAAATGGACAGGTGAGACAATTTCTAATAATTACATAGATTCCCGTTTTCTTTTTATGGATTAAGATGAATAATTATTTGTAGGATAAAGGCATGTGCGAAGTTTGTGAACAAATGAACATTCGCGAAATTAATCAAAATTATAAATTATACACATTGTAATTTGTGTATAAAAATTCACTACGTTGCTTCTTCTTTTCCAATTTGCCGAAATATGATCATGACTCGTCATTTATTGCTCTTAGTTAAGACTCACCGAGTAAGAAGTTCCTCCTTTATATGGTACATGGAATACGGACCTTCTGAGAGACCAATTTAACCTGGGACCCGTGCCACGGTAGATTCTGGCATGACTAAATCTTCCGTTGATGTCTCGATACGACACTATATTGATTGATTGTTTGTTGTTTTAAGTCCTGTTCACAAACTTTTTCATATATAGAGACGTCACCATATATCGGTGGAGGGCTTTAAATTAAACCTTTACTTGGCACTCAGGGGCATTGAGCAGTGAGGTTGTTTATCGGGCCAACGTAAACAGTGACTTTAAAACTAGGGTTTTTAAGGTTTCATCCGTAGGGCCCGCAAAATTTTCCCCGAAATGTCGAACGAAGAACAATGACTGACTTTTTTTCTATCAACATGGGTCAGTAATAGACTTTTACGAGGAGCGTTGACTTTTACAGTTTACGGCTTACCTTTGCACTGGGACAATGTAAGGAAGCTCTATTACGATGTAAATATTTTGCTCAGGACTTCAACAAATGAAAATAATAGGTTATTTCAATGCACATATAAGTTGTCCTTAAAGAAAACAACAACCAACCTACCCTCACCTCCCAGCCTTCACATTCAGGTGACCCTTACACCATACCTATGACCACTAGAAAGGTTTTCCTATGTATTTTCAATTATGTACATGTACTTCTGTACATGATACAAGTTTAAATGTTCAAGTAAACCGTCCACTGTTGAAGTCAGTGCTTCTCGTAAAAGTCCAGCAGCCGTAATTTGAACACGACCTTTCAATAACAGAACAAGACATCTACCATATCACTATAGAAAGGCAAACAAATGTCTGATATTTCTGTTTCAAATGCAGTTGAAGAAAAGATACACTGTAGTTTGAATACAATTCTTGGAAGCAATGATAGATTGAATACAATTCTGGATGAGGATAGTAAACTAAAGATTAACTACCCCCGAGAACAGTTTTCTTTCTTGTAAATAAGCATGTATATTTCCTTGTTAAAAATACATGTATACCTTTCCTTCTGGTTGAAAAATGAAATAAGGTAAAAGTTCACATTGCAGTGGTAAATAAATTTGCATCTTAAAATGATTAATAAAAAATGAATTTTCGAACAAACTACAGTGGATGCGTTACCTGTAGAAAATTTCTAGACATGCATGTTTTTCTTTTTAAAATAAAGTTAAGGATGAACTGAATGTACAATAAGCAAAAGTGTCATTAAATATATACATGTATAACTATCTTTCATTATTAGAACAACAGAACTGTTAACAGCGGACGACAGGGACCAGCTATCGCAGTGGATTGGTAAGACGTGTCATTTTGAGTTGCTGTACAAAATAAGTCGTGATGGATGCTCAGCTTCAAAGTTTCATCAGCTCTGTGATGAGAAAGGTCCCACAATTACAGTTCTTTACAACACTGATAACAGTGCATATGGAGGTTTCCTTTTGCAATCTTGGAGGTCCACTGGTGGTAACATCAAAGACGACCATGCATTTCTGTTTACTTTATACTTTAACGGTGTCAAAAGACCAAGGAAGTTTGCCGTAACTAATGCAAATCTAGCTGCCTATGCACATCAAAAATTAGGACCAACATTTGGCGAAGCTGATATGTCTGTGATAATTCAAAACAATCAAATGTACCCAATGAAAGGAATAAAGGTAACTTCATTTTCCCCTGCAATCGCCACGAGGGAGAGATCTAGAGCGGATATGATGACGTTTCATGATGACGTGAACATATCTATTGAACGTGGAAGTCAGACGCGCTTCTTCACACTCAATGGTCAAGCTGAATTCGGTTCAGCATTCCAAAGGCCATCTGAGAATATGAAAGCAATCAACAATGGTCACATGTGTGTATTCGATCTAGAAGTCTATTCAGTGCAAGGTACATGTAGCCTTCATAGCCTTCATGTTCTCTTTTGTTCTTTTTTAGCGTTTGAATAAAACTTAGACCAAGTCTATGGATTTAAAATCATTAAAACCTAAAAGCTAGCTAGTAAATGGTAAATGTAAATTCTTTTCTTTAAGCAAGGAGACCCGCCGTAGTTCCCGCACATTCACAAATGTCGTTGAAGGCATGGAGGGAACCGCCGCTCTGGGATGAACATGCGAGTTTTATTTTCAGTCATTAATTATTAAATGTGAATGTTTTGAAAATCAAAGCTGAATAACTAAAATTGATATAACACTTAGTTGTAATTTCATGCATTAATGATGATACACTTTTTTTTCTTTTTTCAGAATTTTCAAGCTTTGAAACATTTTGTCTCCAGTTACAAACCGTTGAAAGATATGAACATTCCCGAGGTTAATATTCTACTAGTAGGACAGATAGGCTCTGGAAAATCCAGTTTTTTCAACACAGTCAACTCTATTTTTCGCGGTGAAATAACTGCACGTGCGTGCGCCGGAAACTCCCCACATAGTGTGACTACGAATGTAAGTTAGAGACTATTCAATTTACATTGTAATACAAATTTCATCCCGAAAAGTTTACCTGTCAAAGGTACATTGTAACAGCTGAATTTTATTATATGGTATTGTATTGATTTTTTTTTTGGGGGGGGGGGTCGGGGGGTGGGTGGGGGGGATTTAGTATTTTGTTATATATCTACATAGTAGATCCAAAATATCTATTAGTTCCATTGCGAGACGAATTAACATTTCGAGTTAAACTTTTTATCTCTGAAAGACAAATGATTAATAATTATGCATCCACGAAATACATTAGAGGTGGGATCAGGTGTCATGATGGAGTGAGCATCCCCTGCCAACTGGTCAACCACCATGTGCTCTTTGTCATGATCGGGAACTAACGGAAAAAACTTTCATCAATTCAGTGTATAACTAATGAATTAACAGTTTTAAAAAATGCCAGTTAGCATTTAACTTTATACAATTATTGACTTTTGAATTCGGTCTACTCGTGACTATACAGACCTGGTCAGGTATTGGTTGACCGAGGCCGAAGGCCGAGGTTAACCAATACCTGACCAGGTCTGTATAGTCACGAGTAGACCGAATTCAAAAGTCAGTAACCGTTTTATTAAATGATGAGGGAATTTTACAACACTGCTGACTCTTTCATTCTTATCTACATCAAATATAAACACCCATAATGTAAAGTGTAATTACACTTTTTACAAATAGATATACTTCAACAGCTAAACAACTATTAGTTAAAAAAGTTAAAAACAATATTAATAAACAATAAATACTCAACCATTTACTTTCAAAAGTTCTTAATCTCCTTTGTAATGGCGTCTGACATGTTTACATTCACACCGACACATGCTTTGAAACACGCTATCTGATTGGTCGAAAAAGCTGTAAGCAAATCTATGGTTGGTCGAGAGGGAAAACCCGAATTAACCTCCCAGAACGTCAATTGAGGTGAACTCACTCTGAGGTACACACCAGTAAATGGCGTCTAGACCAATCAGAGAGCACCAAAATTCCTTATCATTTATTAAAATGATAAATTTCATTTGCTAACGAGTTCATTGGATCGACCATAGAACGTTAGAAATGATGACTTTGAAGGAGACAGCTGAAACTTGTGTTTCAGTAACTTGTTTGTCAATAATTTCTTCGTTTTAGAAATTGCTCATACGTAGAGTATATATGTTCTCCTTCGTATAGAATCAAGTGAGATATATAAACCCCGTATGCAGGGGAGAAGTATATGGCTGTATTAGAAAGAGGTGTTGACAATTGAAAAAATTGACCATTAACCACTAATTTAAGTAAAATGTCTAAACATGAAACAGATGTGTGAGAGGTTGTGGTTTCTTTGTTTCTTTTAAATCAAGATCATCGGGATATTTCGTATCGACATAAGAATTAACTATTCGTCATCGATATATCTAAATGTCGAGATGAAGGCCACGGCTAGTGCTTCCTTCGATTCACATAAACTACATTGGACGTGTGTATATGTAACGTCCACCTGTTGTTAGAAATACGTACAAACATTCCTGTTTACGATTGGAACTATTTATATTATGAATGAAACTAAATGTGTTCATTTCTATTTTTAAGCTACGTAAATACAGAGTCAGGAATCATGAGACAGGTGGCTATCTTAATTTCCGGCTTTGTGATACCCGTGGCATAGAAGAGGAAATGTCCATTAAACACCAAGATATGGCACTGTTACTTGACGGACATTTATCTGATCAGTACAAGGTCGGTATTCTATCTTCAGCTACACGGAAATTTTACTTCTACAAACAAGGTCTGTTAATTTGTGAACATGAAAACAAAATAAAATCTGTATAACATTTGAATTTGCAGTTTAATCCTATGGCACAGGCCTGCCAAAGGGATCCGGGATTTAATTCTAGACCCTCATTTAAGGATAAAATTCATTGTGCGGCTTTCATTATAGACGGAAGTTCTGTTGATGTATTGCAAGGAACCGTTCCACGAAAAATGTTGGAATTTCAATCTCTCATGGTAGAGAGAGGTAGTAAACAAATGCAAATTTCCTTTAAAGTTAATTGAATTTTCGAAATTTTGCGTTTCAAACCTTTTGATATTTTCAATTTTTATATTCAAAATTCTATAAGCATTTAGTTGAAGGGAAAAAATCAATGATTAATTAAACGTTGATCTTGCAGATGTATTGCAAAACTTTTTTTTTCATGTAGCTTTAATAAGACTTTTTTTATTGACCAGGCATTCCACAGGTTGTGTATCTGACAAAATTGGACAAAATCTGCCCTTTAGCTGATAAAGATGTGCGTATGATCTTCTATAGCGAGGCCTGTAAAAGAGCACTCGAGAAAACCGCAGAACTCATAGGCCTTCCAAGGGGTCACGTGTTTCCGGTAAAGAATTACGAAAAGGAGACTCAACTGAACAAGCCGATTAATATCCTAGTGTTGACGGCGATAAGACAAACTCTTATTTATGCAGATGATTACTTGGAGGACCAGTATGAAATCTCTCAAACTGAGGAACAAGTGCAACTGATAAATTTGTAGAAAAAAACAGACTGTGATTTCAGATCTGCACTTTTGGATGGTTAGTGATATTTAGTAAACTACTTCAATGACAAAACAATCTACAGATTAGGCTTGTCCAACTGAATATTTTCTTGATAATAAGTGCTTCAATATTTGATCATAGCGGATTTTAAAAAATCAAACTTTTTTCTCTTTGCACTTTTTTCATCGAATACCATTTATCCTTACTTAATGATAAGTATATCAAGGGTCACAAGAGAGTATTGTTTCTTCTATGACAAGTGAGAAGAGTTGTCTAAGAAATAATTACTTGTTACACCACTTTGTCCAAATAGGGTGCACTGACATGAGGATCTGTAGAGGATCTGTAGTTAATGCTTGTGAAATATTGAAACATTTAACATAAACATACACATATATGTATGTTAACAAGTTTCAAAAAGTTTTATGCTTATTCTCATTCTTTTCTGTTTTATGATTTATCAAGCAAAATCAATTATGACAACGTTGAAGTCACATAAATTTCATTCTTACATGACACAATTTGAATTTTTCTACAAACATCATCTGAGTGTTTTTATAGATGTCTTTGTTGGGCTCACATTGCCTATCCATGTAGTAGGTTTAATGGTCAAAGTGCACACATCATGCACATACAGAATTCCCATTGTAAAACACCAGGGCTTAGAGCACAGGTCAGGACATGTACATTTGCTTTTTAAAATAATAAATCAGAATTTTCATCAATATTTGAAAGGGAAAAAATATTTTGCAGGGAATTAAATCATATTTCCTAATTAATATGTTCATTCTAGAATCCACCTATTTTAATGCCTTACCTCGATAAATCTCTATTATATGAAATCAAGCTATTAAAGTGCATTTTCTTGTAAGACCTTTTTTGTTACTCTCTCAAATTGGGTAGAATTCAATAAATTAAGTTCAAATCCCAATTCTTTTAAGGATTTAAATAAATTCAATATTTCTCACAATTTCATTCATTATTTACTGTTTAATGTACAAAATATAGGTAAATCTAAGAGGGGTTGTAATTAGTCTAATTATCGTTAAACTATCTAAATATCTGTTGTTTTATGCAAGTGGGAATAGGTGGAATTGAGATTTTTAAAAAGTGGGGATAAGTAGAAGACATCCTCATCATTAGCACCTTAAAGGTTGGCTTCTCGGCGTGTCAATAATCTATCGCCTCTAGGTAAACAATGCAATCAAGCATAGTGTATGAACTTGCAGACCATACCTGATCTTATCCAAGTAATATCCTGTCAATGCATGCATTGTTTTAATATGAATAAAATGCATATTTACTCCACGTTTTCTTTTATAAAAAAAAAATTAAATACAAAAGACCTTGTACCTTGTACCATGTCCATGTGATTGCAACACCACGGTAAAGTTGACGAGTGTTTACTTATATATACGGGGGTGCTATTGTGTTTCCGAGTCTGACTATCCAAAAAGTCAAATACGAGCGTGGATAAAAGAAAACAATATCCCATTTATCTATTAAATGACAAGTACAAGCGCTAAAATTTATTTGCGCCAATGCACCCCCTTGCGTTTATGCTAAAATACGTATACGCCAAAGGACAAGTGCACTTGAGCAATACTTAATGGGCCCTTTTTATGTGCCATTTTACTTCAAAATATATTACAAAAAAGTTCTCTATTGGTAATAGTTAGATCTTAGTGGATATTTCTAATTTAAAAGCATGTTAAGCACCACTTAAAAAAGCATGGATTTGAAACAATAGAATATTTTTAAATGCCTATGGATACCCTATAAATCCGGAAAAGTCGTACCGAACTTTCTTTTAGTTTCTTTAATGTAAATCAAGGGGAATAAATATCCATGCTTTTTAAACATTGAACAATCTGATGGTGGATCATAGTCGGGCGCGTTTGCGGAATGATATTTGTTTGCGCCAAACCTGTTTTTAAAAAATATTGAATGAAGTTGTGTAGTTGCCTGTAGCTAAAACAATTAGACTAAGAATTTGGTACTCTTGCAATTGAAAAATTACAATAATAGTTTTATTGAATATGAAATTAAAAAGGAGTGTTATATGTGGCTTTTAATACCTGTTTCTTTGTTTTGCATGAAGGTTAAAAATGCTCGACACTTTATGAACGACACAAAGCTCTCTTTACCCTCCCGTGTTCTAAAAACAATACATACAAACATGCATGTCTAGGAGGCACAACTTAGACTTACTGAAACAAAACCTGCCTATGTTTTACAGTGAGCACTTTTGACTTTGAGGAATGTTTACCTGGGTAGAACTCACGTGACTATCAGTATTTTAAATAATTTATTCCACACGTGGGTTCAATGTGGGTCATACAGGTACATAGCTCTCACTTGCTATAGGAAAAACATTGTACTTTTTATACAGTTTTAATATTTTAAGTACGAGCCTAATCGTGTGCAAATTTCATACTTTCACACAAGTTTCATAAATGTATTATGTGTCTTTTGTCATTCGCACAAGTTTGCACAACGTTAGGCTCATAGTTAACAAAAGCTTTGAAATTATTGACCGTTCTCGATTTACTATAGAAAATGGCAAATGTCGGCTGACCCCTACCTCATTGTTTAGTTTTGTTCTTTGTTTATTCGTGGATTTCAGCGGTAATATTTGTTGAATCGTATGGTTTAGATATCAATTAATGATTTGAGTTGAAAAATCTTGCTTAATTTGAATGTTTATTTTTTTCATATTTTACCGGGGCCCATAAGTGCACTCGTTCTTTTTTTTTATCGTTTTACAGTATTAGAGAGTAGGCTTTGAGAAATTGCAATGTTGTTGAAATTTGCAGAAAACATGCCTATTTGACTACCTTCAGCAAAGAATGAAATCATGAGCACAGCCCACGATCCAAAAAAAGAAAGTTTTTTTTAAATCTCCAGAAACTGATCTTTTATTATGTATTTGGATATTTTGTATCAGAGGTTGTGCTCTTCAACTTTAGACCATTTACAAAAAAAAAACAGGATAGGAGGAAAATGACGCATTTTATGAGCCCATAACGCATTGATTTGAGGGAAAATTACGTCATGATTAAAAGATTCGTGTCACCAACACTCCAATAGATAAATACTGCATTTGTCACCAAAATTAACTGAGCCGTTTTGATTTTTCAGAAATTCTCAGGGCCAATAAGTTCCAAAGTGGCTCTTGCTTTTTAATGCCATATTATTTTTACTTACATAAAAAAAAAATCTTATTAGTTTTATCACAAAAGCTCTGATGGAGTCTTAAGAGACTTTTGTAATCTGTTAAACTAAGCCCAAAACTTGTCAAAATATTTTCATTTTTAAATTGATTTTGTTTTAGCATGATATATTAGTTTTTTAAAATGTAAACTTTTCATTTTTAATAATCTATCGCCTCGAGGTAAACAATGCAATCAAGCATAGTGTATGAGCTTGCAGACCATACCTGATCTTATCCAAGTAATATCCTGTCAATGCATGCATTGTTTTTATATGAATAAAATGCATATTTACTCCACGTTTTCTTTTATGTAAAAAAAATAAAAATAGAATAGACATTATGCCATGAGCCACGTCCATGTGATTTCAACACCACGGTAAAGTTGACGAGTGTTTACTTATATATACGGGGTACTATTGTGTTTCCGTGTCTGACTATCCAAAAAGTCAAATACGAGCGTGTATAAAAAACAATATCATATCTATCTATTTAATGACAAGTACAAGCGCTAAAATTTATTTGCGCCAATGCACCCCCTTGCGTTTATGCTAAAATACGTATACGCCAAATTTTTATCGTTTTACAGTATTAGAGAGTAGGCTTTGAGAAATTGCAATGTTTTTGAAATTTGCAGAAAACATGCCTATTTGACTACCTTCAGCAAAGAATGAAATCATGAGCACAGCCCACGATCCCCCCCCAAAAGTTTTTTTTTAAATCTCCAGAAACTGATCTTTTATTATGTATTTGCATATTTTGTATCAGAGATTGTGCTCTTTACTTCGACTTTAGGCTATTTCCAAAATTTTCTGGATATGAGGAAAATGACGCATTTTATGAGCCCATAACGCATTGATTTGAGGGAAAATTACGTCATGATTAATAGATTCGTGTCACCAACACTCCAATAGATAAATACTGCATTTGTCACCTAAATTAACTGAGCGGTTTTGTTTTTTCAGAAATTCTCAGGGCCAATAAGGTCCAAATGGCTCTTGCTTTTTAATGCCATATTATTTTTACTTATATAAAAAAATCTTAAAGTCATTGGTTGTGTATAAATTATAACTAAACTCCTTCTGTTATAGTACTTTTGAGAAGAAGAAAGAACTTTTTAAATTCCGCCATCCGCAAAAAATAAAGTCCCTATTAGGTTTCAAATTGAGTTTATTATTTCTATTTAAAGTTGTACGATTGTAATGAAGAGAGTAAAATATGATCTTTGAAATGTCTTACATGTAAATAATATGACATACAAGTTAATACATTTTAAGTATTTTATCTAGTCAGGAATCAGACAAAAACCTCCTTATGTATATTTGGCATGTAAAAATGAACAAAGCTGCGAGACCAAGATGGAACTGGTATACATACATTTTCTACTGCAATAAAGACATTTGTTTAACAAAAGATAAAAAAGGTCATAAATATTTATCTACATTTATACTCAGTAGTCTACATTTTATGACATTTTCGGATATTTATCAGTGGCGTATATTCCACGTAGGCAAAAAGGCTGTAGCCTACACATCATTTTCTCGAGAATAAAAAAATTGGTTGAATAAAGGGGTGGGGATTTCATAATAAATCATATAATTATTAATTTATTTTGTTTGAAATGAAAAAAAACAATCTTAGCAATTCGCACTTTTATATGCCTATCCGATATGTTTACAGTTTTGCTTTATATTTAAGGACAAAACTATTGGCCTTATTATAGCTTGACATTTTTAAGGCAATGTTCAAGTGTTATTTATATCAAGTCTGTATCAGAAAATTTAATCAAAAGCAACAGGATCCCATAATATGTGCAGGAAACAAAATTGATAACTTGCATTTATTTATATTTGTTAGTAGGAAATTCAACATTTTGGTCGAATCTCGATTATTCAGTAAGGAAGTTTCAATATTTTCTAAGCAGATATCGAGTAAAAGGATAAGTTTTCAGTTTTGTTATGTGGTCTTCACATCACGATATGAACTGTAATATATGTACAATATTATTTTCACTGGTCAAATTAAAATTGTAGATGCCTGAGTTTGAAAATATGCCATATGGAGAAATGGTGTTCATTCTGCTCATTTACATATCGGCCATATTGGAATTTTATATACTAACTATTTCGGATAAAGTTCTTCCGCCGATGTTTTGTTTTTTCTTTATATCTTCGACCGGAAATAACAATAATGTTGATGCTAAAGTGAAAGTTGCGACCGCCATTTTGATTTGAAAATTCGAAGCGAGAGTACATTGTTTTATTGAAGGAAAGAGCACATGATTAGTGTTTTTATCATTTTTGGTGTTAAAATGTAAGTGTTTATTGCAACATGACAGAGTTCTTCCGCAAATTAATAGGTGCAAACGAATGTCTATTTTTACAAAATACAGATGATTTAACATTTCACAGGTCTGGACGATTTCTAAATAAGGAAGTCAAGAACGATAACCGTGAATTGCTATTAATACACAGAATAAACAAGGCACCAATCCTTCTAACCAATCAGATAACAGCATTTAGACAAACCCATGAGAGGATAAATAAAACACGTGGTTTTTAAGTTTTTTGCTTAAAAGATTTTTTTAGAACAAACTTTTTGTAAACTGTATGCATATTTGGGAATAATATAATATTTATGACAATTCTACCGTGAACAAATACGACTTGAAAGCTTGGAATACGTTTTAAGTGGGATTAAAAAAATCTGTCTCTAGGCGTTAGCAATCCCAAAAGTTTACTTACGTTAAAAAAATGATATAAATACGGTAAATTTTCAGTTTTTAGAGCCTGACATAAAAAATCTTATCGAAAAGATAACAGTCTTTATTATTTTTGAATGTTTATTACAGAATACTAGTAGTCTGATATGCGAGGTAAGATACTGGGATAAAACGCATTCATGTATAATTACAGGATTCTCTTTTTTCCACGTTTAACGCCTTTCCTTATGCCCATTTAAAGTCTGCATAGCTAAGTATTCGGCGCTCATGAAACCCGTGATAATGCAAAACTATATGTGTATACTCCATACGATAAACACTTACAGTGTGAGTTGATCTATACACATGGAATTTAAGCATTATCGATGAAAATCGGTCGGCAAAGCAAAATTATATTTACCATCATATAATATATTCTGGTAAATGTTATAATTGAACTTGATAAAAACTTGCTGGTGCGATCTATACGTCTGTAAACGCTTACATTCTATTGTGCATTATTTTTTTTCTTTACCGAGATAAAATGTCAAGGTTGTTCACGGTAAAAATGTGGGGAATACCTTATTCTTCAAAAGTTTTCATCTTACTTTTACAGATTTTTTGTTAAAAAAAATCTTTTTAAGGAAAAAAACAAAAGCACATGTTATCTTTTTGTTCTTTTAAAATATGTTTTAGGGTGTGTAAAAATGCTGTTGTCTGATTGGACAGAAAAATAATTACGTGTACTTGATGTACATTTATAGCAACTTTCGGTTATCGTTCTTGACTTCCATATTTAGAAATCGTCCAGACCTGTTTCATGATGAGTTACGACCGCCTTTTTAATTTAAAAACGGTAATTTTTTGCACCGGCATGACCTACTAATTATTCAAAAGAACGGTATCACGAATTCTAAACAGTCAATCACGCAAAAATTACAAATATAATTATGACTGGCCTTACAGAAGTAAAAACAATCAAGATTTGAGTGTTTAAATGTTAAAAAATAATGAAATGGTATATTTTTAGTTTTTGCAAGATCTCATGAATATTAATGAGTTGAAAATCACGTGGGAGCAATCTCATGAATAAACTGAACGCCATTTCTCCATATGCCCCATTTGAACATCTCCCGTACCTATCGAAAGGAAACTCCTTGTCTACCCATACTTTGCCCCTCAGGTTAAATATGTGACTAAATTCACAAAAGCCTACACATTTTCAGAAAGTGATATATGCCACTGTTTTTATCACTTCGCAGTAAATTTTATACGGCTTAAGTATTCCTACATACTTCGTTATTGCTCCATACAAGCCTGAATGAGCTTCCGTATTTCTAAAACGAAAGTGAAAATTCAGTTATTCAAAGAATAATATCAGGAAACTCAATATTTTTCACAAAGGTAAACAATATCAGCTTGATAATGTATTTTTGATTTTATGTCACTTGCACGGCGCAATTTCAATTGATTTTGGCAACTTTAGACATCATTTAGCATTCTGCATTTGAATTACCTTGTGATCTGGTACGGCTGATAAACAAATAACCCGGCATACAAATATTTTAAATGACAAATAACCCGGCATACAAATATTTTAAATGAATCGATCGTGGGCTGCCAATCTGGAAATATTTTTTATGATTACCTTAAATGGAGGTGGCGCAAGGTTGAAATTTGAGAGGATGTTTTTATGACTAAATTTATTATGAAGCCATCAAAAGATATCAAGACATTAGCATGATTAGTACATATAGGCCTACATGTATAACAGGCTGTATAATTGGGCCGTATAATTGACAATACTAAATTCAGTTAAGAGCATTAGAATATCAACAAAGCATTATGTAAACACCATCCAAAAATCTAATGTTAACAACATTACGCGTTATTGTTTTACTAGCACATTAAATACTCAACGGAAGAGAATCCATTCACATGAAAAAAGTTCTAATGCTGTTTTCCACATGATAAGAATTAAAGCAAGTTCTGCCTGCTAAATGTATATATAGGATACCAAATTGATAACGCATACTCGTTCGCACTTTATTCATTTTTTGAGACTCATCACTCCTCAGTATTTTTACTCTATAGATACATAATATAAAAAAATATAATTATATTAAATACAGTTTTGTTTGAAAATTCGTAGGAAACTTTTACTCCTTCATTATTCTTTTCAATTCCTAATACTAAGAATTATTTTAAAAAAAACCAGCATATACAACGAAAATTATCTCATTAGTTCGATTTCTTGACCCGTTTAACGTATAAATCCTTGTGTGAAAGTTTAATTGATTTTCACGGAAATCTAGTTCATGTAGTTCATGATCATCAATTAATGATATTGTTTATCAGCGTCTAACGATCAAGGTCAAATTTAAATCAAATTCGTACAATTTTTTTTTTTGGTAAAAATAAAAATGAGAACACTCTGACTTAAATACATATACTACTGATGCAATTGTGAGCAACTTATTTTCTATAGGCGTGAAGAATTTAACGAAAAGAAAACTTTCATAGAAGTTGATTAAATCTGTGGTTGTCTTTTTAGAGGTCTTTCTTTTCCTTAGTAGACAAATTAATCTTTAATGGATGTGTACCGACAACACACTGTGCTTGACATGGCTACTAAAATCCGAACAACACATGCAAAATTTTGTCCTATTTCGCGATCCATACATAGATCGTATTTATTTGATTTGTTCTAATGAAGGATACTTAAAGCTGAACACGACTCGTAAATAGGCTTACGCCATTTTTGATAGCATTATCTACGATACATCAATACTAGGGTATACTGGTCGTATTCGTTACACCTGACTGCTTTATTGTCACGAGTATCGGCGTGGAATGGCGACCCGTGTTCGTGCTGGTTATCTTGCATTACCTTTGTTTATATTTTATTGCAGTTACGTTTATCTATGTTGTTTGTATACTGAACAGACTTATGTACCTATAATTGTAAATTTATTTGGTATCTTACTTCCCTGCATTAGACGAAGTATAACGTTATTATTCTCGCTACCAAGTCCTGTGTAGCATACGCCCGTCTTCTCCGGTGTCGACTGATTAAACTGAACAGTCTCTTATTCTTGCCCTATTTATAGGGGTCTGCAGAGTAGCGAGTCTCGAGAACAAAAATGGCGGACACAATACTTTTACGAATCGTGTTCAGCTTTAATATGGTAGATTGCAAGAAAATAACTTGTGGTATACTTTACAAGAGAAAGAATGAATAAGAAAACCTAAATAAAGTAATATAAATAATTATATATACATTAATATGTAATTATTATACAAATACCACACTAAAGCAAAATACATGTAACTAAAAAGTAAAAATGACCTAGTTAACAATGTTCACAGAATAAAAGAGGTATTTCCATCTTATTTATGTTTCCATAAAAAAGAAATCAGGCATTTCTTGTAAATAATGTTTCCTCTTCAGTATTTGCATTTCAGCTTATATTATAATGGCATGGTCCCAGCAAAAATTAATTCTTAGTAAGAAAGAAGAAGATCAGCTGTCATCGTGGATAGGAAATCCGTGTCAATTTCAGTTGTTATACAAAGCAAGTCGGGATGGATTGTCAGCGCAAACATTTCACAGATTGTGTGATAACAAAGGTCCTACAGTAACTGTTCTCCAAAACTCCATCGGAAATGTGTTTGGGGGGTATCTCTCTAGTAGTTGGAACTCGAACAATTCAATGATTAAGGACGACAATGCTTTTCTTTTCCAATTGCAACGACGTTATGTAACAACTACACAAAGAGTAAATGTTCAAACACCAGAAACGGCTGCGTGTGGGGTGCAGTCCTGGGGTCCAACTTTTGGAGGAAGTTCAGAAGATCCTCGAGATTGTAAGGAACCTTGGAATTTTACTAAAAAAGAGCTGTTTGACTTAGATCAAGACTTTGATCTAAGAACTTTCTTTGATAATAACAGTAATGTTGGATTTCAATGGGGGTTTAAAGGAGGTATTAATCGTGGACAAAGGGCATTTGCCCAAAACAAAAACCAGCAATTTATTAACCTCAATGGACAAGAAAATTTAGGAAACAGTTATGGAACATTCGGATCCAACACTTGTCAATTATCCGAGGGGGATTTCAATGTTATAGATCTTGAGATTTACCTTGTCAAAGGTATGCTTACATAAAATTCTATTTTTAGCTCACCTGAGCCGAAGGGTCAAGGGAGCTTTTCTGATCACATTTTGTCCGTCGTCCGTCTAGCTGTCTGTCCGTCTGTAAACTTTTCACATTTTCGACTTCTTCCCAAGAACCACTGGGCCAGTTTTGATAGGGTGGGGTTTATTAAAAAATTTTCTTCTCAAGAGAACCACTGGGCCAGAAAAGCTGAAACTTATGTGGAAGCATTTTTGGGTAGTGTAATTTCTAAATTGTTAAAATCATGACCCCCGGAAATAGGGCGGGGCCACAATGGGGATTCAAATTTTTACATAGATATTTACATGTATAGGAAAAATCTTGAAAAATCTTCTTCTCAAGAACCACAAGGCCAGAAAAGCTGAAACTTCTTTGGAAGCGTTCTGGGGTAGTGAAGATATTAAATTAAATTAAATATTATTCAAATCATGCTCCCCCGGGGTTGGGCGGAGCCACAATGGGGAATCAAAGTTTAACATAAAAATATGTAGGACAAATCTTTGGAAATCTTCTTCTCAAGAACCACTGGGCCAGAAAAACTGAAACTTTTGTGGAAGCATTCTGGGATAGTGTAAATTTTAAATTGTTCAAATCATAAAATTTTAAATAAATTTTAAATTATTCAAATCATGACCCCCAGGGGTTAGACAGGGCCACAGTTGGGAATCAAAGTTTTACAAAGAAATATATAGGAAAAATCGTTAAAATCTTCTTCCCAAGAACCACTGGGCCAGAAAAACTGAAACTTATGTGGAAGCATCCTGGGATAGTGTAAATTTTAAATTGTACAAATCATGATCCCCGGGGATCGGGCGGGGCCACAATGGGGAATCAAAGTTTTACAAAGAAATATATAGGAAAAATCGTTAAAAACCTTCTTCTCAGTAACCCCTTGGCCAGAAAAGTTGAAACTTATGTGGAAGTGTCCTGTGGTAGTGTAAATTCTAAATTCTTCTAATCATGATCCCCTTGGGTAGGGCGAGGCCACAAGGGGAAATCAAAGTTTTACAATGGGGAAACAAAGAATCCTTTGGTAGTGTTAATTTCAAATTGTATAATTTAGGATCAGTTGGGTAGGGTGGGGTCACAATATGTATTACAAGGGGGAAATCTGGTAAAGAACGGAATGGTTAAAGCTTGTCAGGTGAGCGATGTGGCCCATGAACCTCTTGTTTAAACTTTTGAAATTGATATTGAGATACATGTTTTCCTACTATTGAAGACATCGATCTTAAATGTTGATGCTTGTGCTTTCATGCTTAACACGTCGTGTTCTCTATAACAAATCCTTTTCAATAATATCAATAGTTTTTGCCTTTGAGTTTCACCTTATTTGGAAAAAAATCTTTATACTTAAACATGTGTCTATCTTGTTACAAGAACTTTCTTTCATTAAAAAGAAAAACGTCCTTTCGCTAGCAAGAAAAAAACCCATCAAAGTCTTATCTTTTTTAAAATATGACAATGGGGAATTGTTTTATATTTCATATTTTTCTGGTATCGAGACCTGGTTAATAACATATTCAATCTTGAACTTTACCATGCCTTCGAGATTCTTAACCCATTGCTATGAACTACTACATGTATCAATGTTTTAAAAAAGATATTGTTGTCTAAATGTAATCTTGATATATTATGTACATTTCTATGAGGACAGAATGCTTAATGTATGAGTTCTGCTTCAGGTGATGAAAAAAGTGCGGCAAAAAAGGTTGAAACTTTCTGCTCGCAGCCTTGGAGAGAAATGCCAGTCTGGAATGTCCAGGTACCTTAAATTCGATCTCCAAGACAGATTCAAATGAAAGATTATCCTAAATTAATTTATCTGTATGATAATTCCTGTTGAATCAAGTTCTCGAGACCTTACAAATTCCCGAGCCTTTATAAAGCTAAAAGCTTTTTTATTTTTACTAATTCTTTTATTTTGTTTTAGAACTAAGATAAATATGTTCATCTAGTTTTGAGTTACATATTACATGCAAGTAGCCAGAAACCTCTTTATTTGTCTTCAACATAATATATAAAATTAGTAGTACGCTAAAAATGTGGATTTAAACACTATAGTGTACATGTACATTAATTAAACAGATTGGCGATGAAAAATACTAAAATTTGCAATTTGATTTTACTTCCTTTCATTTTTCAGTCTTTTCAATCCTTAAAAGATTATGTAACAGGCTACCACCCGATTGAAGATTCAAATGTGAAAGATGTCAATATTCTGCTGCTTGGCCAAGTTGGAGCTGGAAAATCTAGTTTTTTCAACACAATTAACTCAATTTTCAGAGGGGAAATAACATCCCGCGCATGTACAGGAAGCTCTGATCACAGCTTGACAAAAACGGTGAGTGTTTTAAAAAAACAGTTACACTTTGTTAGATTATTCCATTAAATTCCCCTTAATTGTTCATGTTCTTCTTAATTTAGTTTCTTCACTTATAATAAAGTTGTTTCATCCTCAATATATTTACCAATGATATTAGAAATGTTTGGCTTTATTCTAATAATTTAAGCAATGGAAAATTTGAATATTATTTCTTCCAGAGGATGAACTGTCCTCATAAATTTAGTGGAACATTAGATAATCAGTCATTGTTTTATTTTTGTCTTATTTAAGTAGTTTAGAAAATACAGAATTCGGAATCCAAGTACAGGTCGCTATTTAAATTTAAAACTGTGTGACACTCGGGGACTGGAGGAGAGTTTTGGTGTTCATACCCAGGATATTGCCTATATTCTAGATGGACATATTCCTGAACATTATCAGGTGACAAAATATGCTCATTTGATACTTTTATATGACATGTTTCAATCTAATAAGTTTTGCATTTCAATTTTTTAATAACATTTTCATCTGTTTGCAGTTTAATCCAGCTTCAAACGCTACACCCAAAGTACAAGGTTTTCTGAAAAATCCCAAGATTGAAGATAGAATCCACTGTGTGACTTTTGTTATAGATGCAAGTACTATTGACGTCATCACTGACTCAGTACTTCATCACATTAAAGAGGTTCAAAACATAATTGTCGAGAGAGGTAAATGCTTTTTTGTATTCATATAACGATATATCTTCAAACTCTTTAGCAAAAATGAATTTAATTCTATGACAGGTACTTTATAAAGTAAATACATTGTAAAATTGTTGTTCAAATTTTCTCCATGTTTGTTTTTACAGTATCTTATATCTTAAAAAAATTATTCAACTAGGTATTCCACAAACAGTTTACATGACGAAACTGGATAAAATATGTCCAGATGTCGATCAAGATGTGACAAAGCTTTTCCTAAGTAATACATGTAAACAGGCCGTGGATAAGGTTGCTGAGATGATTGGAGTACCCAGGTCACATGTTTTCCCCGTGAAGAATTACGAGAAGGAGACCCGTTTACACGTGACCATCAACATCCTGGCTCTCACAGCTCTCCGACAAACTCTTGTGTTCGCAGACGACTACTTGGAAGATCAGTACGAAATTGGTGATGTGTACTGATTCCATGTATTACCAAGTGGCTAAATGGGGGATAAATATCAAATGTATAATATATTTAAAGACCTATCAAATGTTTACAAATATAAGGCAATATTGTTAAATGATGTGATTGTATACGTAGTTACTAGTGGATTGTGTCACACACACACGATTTAGCAATTAGCTTCCTTGTAATGGAATAAGCATAATAATAATGGACTCAATCCGTCGTTGTCTCGGCTGTCCTGAGTATATATATAATTTTTTGAACTTCATCTAAAGTGCCTTGTGGTTGCTTTATACATGAGTGAAACATTTTCAAATGGAAAGTAAGAAATAAAATCAAACGATCGCATTTAATATTTAACATAGCAATTTATTGGTTTTACGTACAATATGTGTCAATTTTTTTATGCAAAGTTGTTGCATCTTATCCCTTCCTTTTAATTATATTCCTTTTCCACGTGTATATATTGCCTATGTATAAGAAATAAATACATTTCAAATTTGAATTCCAATCTAAAATTCACTTTCTCCCTTTTTGATCCCCCAGTCTTGTTTTAGATCGAGAAAAGGAAAACAACATCACTAAAGGTATATTTAAGACGTTTTAATACTCAATGCAATACATGAAGCAAATCTCTGCATCAATAAAGTGTATATAATTCTGTTTCTCTTTGAAAAAAAAAATAGAAATAAAAATTATCAAGGAAAAATTGATAATACCAAATTTGCAATGTATATCGTAATGTATGATTCTTAACAGAAGCATTTCCGTCTTCTCAAATTGCAACGATTGATTCTGCAGAACAACTATTTTTAAGAATAAAAAAAATCTTTCTTTTTCCTTTCCAGACGTTCTGTTGAAGAGAAATCGGTCTGCAACTCCACTATTATAATTTTTTCTCTGATTTCTATTGATATAATTAATACTCACCTCGTATAATATATATTTTTGATGATATTATAAGTTTAATTCATATAATATTATGTTATCCTTTTAAGAGGTTCTTTTGAAGAATTTAAAGTACAGCCTTTAATACATTGATTTGTTTTAGATGTTAAAAAAATTCTCTGAAATTTGGTCTTTTGACACTTTTGTTTCAATCAGATATTTTCTTTTAAATTTGTAATGAACACTGTACCAAGAGTAATTATTGTGTCTTTCAATAAAGAAAGATGATTACTGTGGTTTCATCAATTTTCGTTGGCATCAACAACGAAATCCACGAAAATTGGTGCTCAACGAATATTGATGAAACCACAGTATGTCTTTCATTTTTTTTATTTTGCCTCCCGTGTTGCCTCAATTTATGGTATGCATGTGTATATTACATGTATGCTTCATTAAAAAAAACTATTGCAAAACAAATGATCGCAAATTTTCTGAAATAGGCAGTTTTACAATCAGCATTGAATAGAAGAAGCAGCATAAAGACCTTAAATGGATATATAATGGAGTGTTACATGAATGCCTCAAAGATATACGTACGTATATTCCGCTTACTTTTAATACGAGTATATCCCTTTTTTACATCAGTGTGTTAACCATTTACTTTAATTCATTTGCCAAGTTAAAGGAGATGCTTATGTTTTATAAAGTAATTATACAGTAACAGTAAACTAAACAAATTTTGCATACTCTTATGAAACCTTTACTCAAATGCATGCAGTTACTCTAAAATTGATGAAGGTTAAATATTAACGTAAATTTATCTTGTTCCTGGTTACTCGTACATAAATTATGTAAATGAATTTTGTAGATTTTGTGCTCATGAAACCCATGTGAAATGTAAAGGCAATAGAAATTTGTTCAATCTTATAGATTTAGTAAACTAAATAAATGGTGAACTTGGGAGAAAAATTGACCACTTGTACCCAATAAGTGAGATACAAGTTAGGTCCTAGGAGGATTAAGATTAACCTGTTGACCAGTCACTTCTGTCGTGATCCGAGTAAATTGATCTAGAGTACTTCATACGGAAATTCATACGGAAATTTAGTATTAAATGTTTTTTTCCCAACAAATTAACCATGTACCAAAAATTTTGTGTATCAACCTTAATGCAAAAAATCTACCGATGTCTTGACAGCTTTTTTGGTGATTTTGTCGATCGCAGATACCTCTATTTCTGTCCCACTAAATGTCATTTGGACATCAACTTCTTTTTTAATGTTCTTCGAAGTTTCTGGCATATGTAATCGCAAATAGCCCAAAAAGCGACTTCGTGGGTCAGTGGTAAATTTTGGATTTTTACATGGTGACGTGAATATTGTGAAACCTATAGTTTTTTGATCGGGAATTTGTGGGAAATAAGTTTGCGAAGTTGTTGGTTCACCTACGTGCATTGTTTCACCAACTCGTACATGAATATTGAAAATATCTTTGCATTTTTCAATTCCGTTTACTAATGTTTTCTTTTCTTCAGGATGTTCACTTGGATTGAAATCTACGTTTGTACGTATGCCATATGTGTATTTGCTCACCCTAGATGAAATTGCATCTGGTTCGTGGCCGAAAATAACTGATCCTTTCAAAACAGAAAGACCTGCTTCTGGTGTTGAAATGACTTTAAGTTGATTGAAGTTTGTTTTTATAGCCTTTTGCAACATTAAAGACTCTGCATACCCACCTACCAATAAGATTGTTCCGACATCTCTCATCGCATTTTCGCAAAGAATAGACTGCACATGTTTAACGATTTGGTTGCAACTTTCGTCGAACAATTCTTTTGTTATACCGGGTTCCATTCTCAATTTCTCTCCAAACCATTTCAATTTTGCTTTATATTTTTCATTTGACTGAACGCTTAAAGAAATATCTCTTCCCTTTAAAACAGAATAAAGACTGGACAGGCTATGTGGGACTCTCAAAGTTATAAACTCATCTTTCTTAAATTCTGGTTTAACAGTTTTCTTTTTGATTTCAAAATCTCTGAAAAGATCTAATTGATCCATTTTTTGAGATTTCGAAAACTCCTGCATTACATCCTCTCCAAAAATATCTGTTAATAGACACTGCAAGGCATCATCAACTTTTGTACCACCCCAAGGTCCACCATTTGCGCTATAGAGTTCTTTCAAAGAATTGTTCGTTTGTACTTCATGTACAGTTATATCAATGGTCCCACCTGTTAACAAACATTACATACACAAACTTTGTAACGATGAAAATACGTGTAATCAACGACGTTAAGATATTTGTAAGTTTTAATTACCGTATAAGTGGAAATTTTAGCGAGACGCAAATTTAGCTATTTGTCCTTAAAAACTGGTAATTTTTTTTAGCGATATGTTTTTTTTATTAGCGATTTTAAAATACACATTAAAGAAGCTATTACAAATATAACGAAATTAATTTTTAGCGATATTGAATTTTAGCGATCTCGGCACCCTCGCTAATAATGCCAATGTTAAATCCTCGCAAAAAATTCTACTTATACGGTATTAAAAGTTATCAGCAAACAAGATATAGAGTGAAAGAAATTTGCACATAAAATCCTTTTTAATTCTGTAGTCGGACATCACTCCATGCTCACATTTATTATTGGTGTTAATATGATTAATAGTTGCTTTAAATACGGTAAAAACGCTTGTATTGGTGATCGATTCAAAAAATGCCTCGTCTTCCGTGGACTTGGAAAATCTTACAAAACATTCTTTCAATAGTTTTGCATGTTTATAATATACAAGAACTAGTTTAAACTGATAATGATATTATTATCAACTTGGCATAAGTTCATTTTCTTATAAAGGCACATATACATGTATTTATCAAAAGGAACTATTTTATATCACCAAAAGTAAAAATGGAAAAGAAATTCAAAGAAAGAAGACAGAAACACAAAACTTACCCCCTGCATCAATAACCATGTACTTTGATCCAGGCTCGAAGGTGTTTCCTCTATTTCCCATTGGCAAATATTTACAGTAGATGGAAGCCGCCTCTGGTTCCAGAGCTATTTTCAACCGTTCAGTGGAAATCCCTGCCTGATAAAAAAAAGGTTTTGAGCTTTAAATTCATCAAAACTGCTGTATTACAGTGTGTTTCAGATATACATCTATCAATATCTATATATACTTTACCGTAAAATATAGCACCCCTTGATTATTTTGAATTTGCAGGTTCTCTTTTTTAGTTTTGTTTACTTTCAGTCGAGATGTTAAATAAAGAAAAAACAACGAGGATTTCTCATAGAAATTTTATAAATGCCTATAGTTTCGGAAGAAAAAAAAGAGATATTCTGCTACATGTTCATCATTATTTAATAAAAACAGTCTCTTCATAAAGAAGAAGTGCATCATTGACTTTTAAAAAGATAAATTATCATAAAATGGGATTATTATTATAATGTGTTTTTTTTTGGCTAAAGCTCGGCTTCGCCCACTGAAACTGTTATACCTGCCCACTGGGGCAACTTAAGTGGACCTGTGGCGTCGCTGTAAGGCTGCTATAGGGCTGCACTGGGAATGTTAGAACTGCTTGGATTGGACTGATTTACCATCGTTATATGACAGCTCTGACACTTCTGGAACTGCTCAGACCGATGAGGGACATCTTGGAGACTGGTTTCGGTCTGCTTAGCTGTCCGTCAGAATTGGCGTATTGATAATGAATGATGCACAATTATTTTTTTTCTATCAGTAGAAATTAGTACTTACTTGTTCTGCTGCCATTCTCATGAACTGCTTTGCTGCGTCAGTCCAAATGGCTGGAACTGTTAGGATCCAAAGAATATCGTCTTCTTCAATTTCTGGGAATTTACTTTTGCAAGAAGAAACCATATGATCCCTTAAGTATTTTATGGAGGCACTGAAAACCTTAAGTGCATCCATTTTTTTCTTCGTGCCTTCTTCCTCAATCTCCATGGATTTCGAAATGGCCTTAAAAAGAAATAAATTGATCCAAGAACATGTTTCTTCTTTAGGAATGACTCTAGTTCTTGGCCAAATTATTCGAGGATACCGTATATACCCGCCTATAAGTCGGTCCGCCTGTAAGTCGGTAACGTTGTATTTTTTAGATTAATTTGGAGGGATTTGCCATTGAACCAACTATAAGTTGATATAACTTTTTGCCAGAATCATCTGACATTTCAAATCTATTCACTGATGTTTTTAGCTGTTTAATTAATATAAATTTTTTTTAAAATAACGCCATTTTTATTTAGTTTTAAATCATTTACAAATAATAAATGCAAAAATAAAACCATTACAATTAATTAATACTTGTACTATATGTATTATCTTTGAATGAATAAACGATTAAACATATATATACTTTGTTCTTCTGTATTAATTATCTGAAATATATATGGAATGATACATTTCACTTTACAGAAAAATACAAATATCTTAATGACTCCCCTCTAAGTCGGACATAGAGTTTTGAAATAAAATTTAACTCCCAAAATACCGACTTATAGGTGAGTATAAATACGGTGACCTGCTTCGGGTCAGTTTACGCTGTTTTACATGTATAATCCGCTTCGTGGATTGTCTAACATATTCCTTATGATTCCTTATAATTTAATTTAAATCTAATAGTGTAGGTGTAAAATTCCGTTGCTTTTTACGAGTTCAAATTTGCCGCTCAATAATACAACTGTAGTAACGGATGTGATGAGAAAAGAGGGGAGGTAGAAACTGATACATAGGCCTAGCAGATATGTTGTTTGTTTGCATGTTGTAAGATCGAGCTACTGTTTGAAGTGAAAGGTTCATTTATTAAATCTGGAATTTTCCATGAATTCCGATGACTAGAATAGGAGGATTGCATGGAAACAGATGATTCACCTTGTTATCAGGGTTTGTGTCCCCATACCAAAACAAGTTATACAGAAATAATTTCTGTTCCCTTTTAGATATTAACAAATCAGAGGCTAGAATACAAACAGAATTATATTATATGATTGTAAAAATTGGTTATTGAAGGTTGACTTCAAATGCGCTATTTTGTATTCAAGTTTTTTTTTAATATTAAAGAATGCTAATTCATGTTAATCTATGGTGTATTCGTAATTTTTGATGTAGAGCTATTTTTCTACTTCACCTGTCCATGATAAAGATCCATTTTGAATCGCCGGAAGTAATACCATGGTTCGTGCTTGCTTTCTAAGGCTAGTTCACTATACTTCTCTTCAGCTTCGAATCCAAAGGAATGAAATTCTCCTTTTGGATTGAAGAGTACACATGTCGACGTTTTCTCAGTCTGTAAACGACCAGAACCGGAGGACCATTGATTCATATAAATTTTCAGAGGATCGTTTTGAAATTCGTGTACAAATGAGTATGCATATCCTGAATATGTTGTTCCGAAATCAATTGCTGCAACCAGGATATTATTCATTTCCTGAAATGAAGTTCACATATTTTTCTTTTGAAAATGAACAAGAAACACTTCTAATGTTTGATTGCAAATAGTTTTAGGGATTTTGGGCGGAAAGCGACGTATGGAGACATTAGTCCGAGCCAGATAACTTAATAAAAACTTTATACAATTTAATAACTTAATAAAAAACTTAATAACTTAATAAAAAATCTCTTTGAAAATAACAATAAAACACATGTCTGATCAAACTCCATATTTTGATAAAATGTACATAAATATTACAACACTGAAAAATTTTGAAAAAGTGTCTGAGCAAAATCTACAGTCAAAAAAAAAAAAAAAATTCACTTTTTTTTTTGGCAAAATAAATACTGCACTTTGTTATTTTAAAAAAAATATATATTACATTATTTTAAATTGTGCACATTTTAAAAGATTAAAAAAATATTTGTATGGTTATGAGGATCAAAATCAAAGATTTGGGGGGATCTAGTTTTTGTCCAACTACGTCCGTCTGCCTGTTTATCTTTAAAAACTTTAACATTACCCTTAACTTTTGATTAGTTGGAACTATTTCTTTTAAGTTTCGCATGTGTATTCCATTTCACAAGACCATTCTTTTAGCACCAAATTATTGACCTTTTGATCTTGATCTTCGAGTTTGACCGACTCTTGCAAACTTTTCCCACACTTTAACCTTGACCATACTGTACCTTCTGAAAAGTTATTGCTAGGGCTTTCATACTTCAAATTTTCACATGTTTTTATTGAGACTAGACCTTTTTGAAGGGTAAAAAGACTTTTGACCTTTTGATCTTGACCAACATTCAAAAAACTTTTACCTTTTGCTTGGTCATAACTTGTGTACAAAATAAGTACTAGGACGTTTATATTTCAAAGGTTTATTTTCGTAGCAAGACTTTCACTTGAGTGTCATAGTTTTGATCAAATGATCTTGGAGTTTGCCCTACTTTTAATTAATTCTAATCTTGGCAATAAACTTTTGATTCTTTGGTGCTTAGGCTTTCATGTTTTAAATGTATATCTATTTAGACAAGTTTTTTCTTTGGCACATGGTTTCTATCTCTTGACCTTTGCGTTTGACTTGGGTTTGAGAAATTTTAACTTTTGCTATGATTAAGCTACCATACATTGGCATCAGTGTCTCACAAACACATCTTGTATAACATATACATATCGAGTATCTCTATGGTCATTTTGTCATCTAACTTTTCTCTTCAATCATTCGGTGTAATCTAAACTCGCTGTAATGATGACATAGAACACTATTCATTTTAAGTATTATTCACCCCATTAAAATGATGTCTTTCAGCAAGCCCCTCAAATACTATTGTCCTTTAAATTCTTGCATAAAGCGTATCAACTATTACATTATACCAATCTACGACAATTATGAATTTGAAACCAGTTTGTGCATTTAATGTCCTTAAATCTTTAATAAAGCAAGGTTGATATATAGTTTTTATTTCTTTTAAAAACTTTTCATTGACAGATTCTTATTACGGGCCTTTTCAAAAAACAAAATGCTCCGCCACAGAAATACCCTGAATATAAAAGTTTTAACTTCAGATACAAATATTAATGTTATCCATATCATTAGGTGTGAAATGCTCTAAGAAAGTACAATATCTCAAATAAAGTATTAGTTTTAACCTCAGATAAAGCTTTTTATACATTATCAATATTATTTGTTTGGAAATGCAAAATTCAGCGGCAGAATATCTTATGTGACTCTTTGTAAAAAAAAAATTACAAAATTGAATATATTTCCATGTTAAAGATATTCTGCATATAGAAATAATGGGAACATTTATTAACTAATTTCAACTTTGGTTATAAACATTCAGAACATTACTTACATATATTATAAAGATTATTCATATCTAATATATGTGAAAGTAGTATTATTAAGTTATTTTAAAAAGCTTAATTCGTACCTTTGATAGAATTCCTGCGAGATATAAATTCAAAATGAACAAAATAAACGCCAAGACACATTTTTTATCTTCCTTTCTGATTTCTGAGAATGCAATTTAAAGCCGCCCTCTACTCGACACACAGGAATGATGAATGTTATTATAAAAATAGAAAACGTATTAAATTTGATATGACAAGAGTGTTGCAGAAAAAAATGTTATCTCTGAAAAAAATCGAGTGCATCAAATTCCTTGACAGCAATTCATTATGGTTTTATTTTTTCAGAGATCATAACAGAAATGTAAGGGTATTTCATATACCAGTTAGGGAGATTGTCCTTAAAGTAGATATCCTTGTTGACTTTCTTATCCCAAACTAATGATTAAGAAACGTACCAAGAACAAACTTTTTAGATCTTAAGGAGAGGATTTTAACATGCCTTGAAGAAAACAAAGAAATTTCAAGGGACTCTTTTGGTTGTATTTCTTTTTAAATGGTTAATATCACAACAAACGCAGAACGAACATCTTGTGCTTTAACTCTAAGTATAACACAAAAAAAAAATTGAAAATGATACATTATTATCAACATGAATACAACAACTGATTTATTTCTATTTAAATAATAGACAAAAAATAGCGACAAAATGAAAAAAATACATGAAATATATCAAAAGAATTATTACGCTATACATTTGCATATGACTTTTTGAAGGATCAGAGCGACATGGAAAAAAAATCTGTAATTTTTTACATTATGTTATAAATAAAACTGCCACATTGTAATTTTTTTGTACGGCTAAAATATTGCGAAACGATTAAAGTAAAGTGTTTTCGTGCTTGAGTTGTCCTTTGAGATTTTTGGCGCTTCCATATAAGGAGAGGTAATATAAGTGCTTCTTGGAAATGGAAACGAATATTCAGTTGCAATGTTTCCACAAAATATTATAGATATGCAGATTCAAAGAAATATGTTTGATATTGACGAATTCGGAGATCTAGTCTGTAAGATGCAGGGAATTAACGTATATTCAATCATTCACAGTCTCAGAAAAATCTTCGATAGTGACGATATCTGCAACCCCCTTTGAAAACATTATAAAATGAACTTTGATTGTGAAAATGTTAATTATGCTCAATGTCAGTCATAAATTACATACTGCCTCAAAATATGACGTAAATTCATCACTTAAATGACATTATTGTAATGCTATTATATTAATAATAAAAATAAAATGACTGAAAATAGGAAGCGCTCAAACTCAAACATCTTATTTTTGTTCATAAAAATTTTATCAGTGAAATATGTGGAAACAGTTTCTAATCATATTCCTTATAAATAAATGAAAATCCTAATATAAAAATGAAGAAGGCAAATAAGTTATCTCATTTGGAGAATTTAGACTTCCAAATTGATGTTTTTCAGACTTTTAAAAGCATACTTTGCCAATACTTTCCCGATTCCAGTACGTTAAATGCTCCAAATCAAAGTCTCGGTGTAATCTTAAGTAGCTTCAAATTTGGCTATAAAACACTATTCATGACAGGTTCATAAAAGAAACTTTATTCATCTCATTAAAATGATAGCTTTCAGCAAACCCCTCGAATAATATCCTCGTTTGTACATAAAACTCATCTTCAATTACATTATAACAATCGACGACACCTGTGAATTTGATGGTTGTTCGTGCATTTGATAAAATGTCCTTAAATCTTGATAAAGCAAGGTCGTTGTGAAATTCACTTACTATATAATTTTTGTCTTTTTTTTAAATTCTCCAAATACTTTTAACTGGTGTTTTCACAAAATAAAATAATGCTTTGTGAAAGGAATATAAGAAGATAAAAAGGATAGTTTTCAATTCATATAAAAATGTTGGTAATACCATTTAATGTAAAAAAAAATGAATTCAGTATCAGAGCATTTTTTGTGACTCTTTGTTGAAAAATATCCAAATTCAATATATTTTAAAGTTATTTTTCCATAATGTTATATTAGATATTATTTTGAATTTAGAAATAATGGGAACATTTGCAGACTAATTTCAGTTTTTTAAGGGGTTTAAGAGTTAAACATTTATATATAGTTACATGTACGTATGAATTAAAAAGATAGTTCATAACTTGTCCGTTTGAAGGTATTATGCAAGTTTATTTATGATTCTAAAATGTGAAATCCGTACCTTCGAGAGAATTCCTGAAAGACTAAATTCCATAGTCAACAAAGAGAACTTCCAGCTACAATTTCTAGAAAATACATAAAAATTTTAAGAATGCAATTTAAATCCCCTTCTTTATGTACAGATAGTTATGAGAAAACTTGTTAATATTAAAAACGTAATGAAAAATATTCCGGGGCCTATTAAATTCCTCGAAATTTTTTTTCTGGACAAGTATAACTAATTCATATTGCTTAGGAAAAAAGCTTCCAAGGGTGAAACTGGAGAGGCCTAGAGGCTTCCCATTTGTCCGTCCGTCTAGCTGTATGTGTGTCTGTCGAACTGCATGGCTATATGTCACTTTGTCTCTCCGTCTGTCTGGTTTTTCGTACCTTGTTTTTCTAAACGCTTGTATATATTGAGCTGATTCTTGGTATGTGAGTTACAGATCAAATCTGTATTTTGTTCCACTTTAGTAGTTTACTGACCAGACAATATGAGATATTATCTAAAATATAAATGGACAAGTGAAATAACGTTAGCTTTTTAAATCAATGCAGGCTACTGACAGATAGCTTGATGCTACTTGGATTTCAATGAACTCGTTTAAACTCGGTTTTTCGTGGATTCTATGGTCATTATAATAACCTACGTCACTAATACAGTATATCAACAATTGGGACATGTATTTGCTGATTTATTTCATACCAAATGTGAAGCCTTTGATTTATACTGAATTTAACAACGAAATGTTTCGTTTACCTGATCAATACAGGTGTGATCGCTCGACAGGAAACTCTTATTTTGTATTGTTATGGAATTTGAGATTGAATACTGTTCGTTATCTCCATATCCTTGCTAACTCCAGCTGTGCACCTGATCAATACAGGTGTTACCGGTCAACAGGAGATGCTTACCCCTGCTGTACACCCGATCCCACCTCTGGAATGCCCTCTACACGGATTTTGTGCTTTTACTTCTGTTAAAATTGATGTCCATTATTTCCAATTTTGTCAATTTTCCAGGGTCAATTCTCTGATGTATTTACCGGCAATACAAATCTCATCCTTACAATGTCAAGGGTTTGTGATTTCTATCTAGTTTGTGTGGAGTTCGAGAAATCACAATCCCTTGACATTGTGAGGATGTACAAATCTAGGAACACAGAATAAAATTCATGTGTAAGTTCCTCAGGTCTAATTAGTTACCTTGGAAGATTAGGCATCCCCTGTTGTTTTAATTTTGTAGATATATATATTGTGTTCTGATGTTTCATGCTAATTAAGAATTATTTTTTCTGTCTTTCTGAATTTCTCACTCAAAATGTAGCAAACTTTAGTTGAATTGTTTCTTTCTTCATATGATCTATATTTTATTCTTCTTTTACTGATCCTGTTAAATTCGAATATATTACATGTAATTCAATACTATCCCCTCTAGTCATAGGCGTCAGAAGCAAATTTCTTTGTCGTCGTAGCTCGCTGTTTAAGGTTTATTGATACATTGATAAGATAGATAATTATTACAGACATAAATGTCTATTACTCCTTCATAAATTTGTAAAGTTGAAGTGTATTGTTATTTGAATAAATATAGGATCTACAACCTACGTACTTTTTAGCAGACCCATCTTTGTATTCATATAAGGCAGCATTTGTGCAATATCATATGCGTGAAAAGAGGTACACATTTGCTGTGGTTTTCAACTCGACATCTAGATATATCTATTAAGTTCCTCAGAATATTTCCTATCGACATAGGAAAGGAAATTACATTTGTTATTGGACAGTATGTCTATGATTATCACAGACATACTGTCCAATAACAAATGTAATTTCCTTTCCTATGTCGATAGGAAATATTCTGAGGAACTTAAAATAATAGATACCACATAGTCTGACATATCTGTTTCATGCTTGGATATTTTACTTGAAAAAGGTATTAATCGTAATCTAAGCTCGATGATAAAGGTGATCACTTTAACTTTTTAATTGTCAACTTCCAGTCCCTTACTTATGCAGCAATATACCTTCATCAAATGCAGACGGAGTTTAATATCTCAATTAATTCGATACGTAAGTGCATGCTCAACATGTGCGTAAAACAATTTCTAGAACAAGGTAAATTCCGAGATTACTATGTTGGGCCAACTTTGGTAAAAGGTAAAAGGTTGTATGGTTTTCAACTGGCGTTGGGATATAACAACGTTTGTCCATTAACAATTGACCATTGTTACTATATCAACCTTCTTGACCATGTCGGAATTCCTATGTTGGCCCAACGTTGGTCCAGCGTAAGCATCTTCAATCTTCAATTGCTCTTTTAAATTGTTGTACTCAGGTGACCATTAAGGTTCTTGGACCTCTTATTTGAAATGAAGAAATGCCCACAGTAAGATGGAATATTTTTATACTTGTATACGTGTTTCAATGAATAATGTGTATCTCTATCAAGCATTTGCTAATACCTATCTAAAATCAATGGGATTTTAGCCGAGGAAAACAAACACTCTAAGTTAATAAGATTTTAGCTCTACTGGTCAGAGACCAGAGGAGCTTATGCGATAATATTTTATTGAAAAACAAGTATGAAAGAATATCAGTAGTCTCGTTTAAGGTCATCATTTCTATAGTCCTTATAATGACCTTGTCATCACATACAATTTATCATTGAGTCAAATGCTCGCCGACGTTTTTTATACTTATTGTTAGTCCATTATTTACACACTGATTTAACGACATATTTTTCCGTTATTTCCCGATCATGACAAGGTGCACACGGCTGGTGTGACCGGCCGGCAAAGGATGCTCACTCCTCCATCGCAACTGATTCTACTTCTGATGTTTTAGAGGTCTGTGTTTGCTCTGCCCCTGTTTTGTATTGCTTTATGGACTTTGAATCTTGAATACTATATGTTGTCTCCATCTTTTTCATACAACAACAAAAAAATATCTTGGGAGACCTTTTTATTTTTTTGAATTTATTTTCCGATTGATCTGCAGTTATAAATGCACCCATTGCATTTCACAGTCTTGTGTTTAGAATATCTAAATTATGTAAATATACAAAAAAAAAAGAAATCGGTATTCATTTTAAATTAAAAAAAAGTTACGTGAAAATATTTTCCTAGTAAACATTTTCTCAATGCTCCTATGCGCGTGTGAATGTAGCTTAGAAATGTATGCAATATAATAAAACAAAATAAAAAAAATCATAACAGTCTTTAAAAACCGTCGGTCCACATAAGCAATTAATTTACAAATTTTTGTCTGTTTGTACGTGCAGGCATAAAATAACTTAAAGATCCAACTGTCAGAGTGCAATTGTTAATTAACATTAAATGTCTTGTTTGCATGCCAAATGCTACTATAATAAATTATTTATCTACAATGTTTATTGAAAAAGCAGTTGTCTTGAATATCGATAAGCCCAGTTACATGTATTAATTTTTCATAGAAAAGTTTGTAAGAACTGTAGGAAAAAAATCAAACGTAATTATTACTTTCCTGTCAAAATCCTGTTATTTTCAAATGTCAAAAAATCATTGTTTTTATAATGTACATTATTTTTAGACAATTTATAGAATATGCTGTAAAACAGTGCGCCCAAATGTTCTTCCCTATATTATGTGTTACGATAGAAAAATGATAAACCAATTATCTTGGTCAGGTAAAATATCTTTTTGTAATGATTTTCAGGATATTAAAGTGATATATCGTTGTTTATGAGTTTCCAGGAAAATTAGGGAACATATATAAATGTAGGGAGGATAGGGCATTAAAATACTCACTTTCTCGAAAAATGATTCAAACCAAACTTTTCTTAAAAAATAAAATAAAAACGAAAACATGATATTGTTACAAGCTTCGTGTGCTGGATCCATAACACACTCTTCATAAGATATTCCATATTTCTTTATCGCCTTCAATATAGTAATCGTGATCTGTCTTCTTATTATTATCAACTTTTTTCAATATATTTGTGGTATACATAATCAATTCTGGCAAGGTCCTTTTTATTTCGCCCGACGTATGGATTTATCTTCGACATAATGTATCATATAATTGAAGTTATATCTGCAATTGAAAGATCAGGGATCCCTGTATGAAGTTGAAGGAATATTTTAAATTTTTAATGTCTGGTACTTATTTTCAACTACATGTACTTTACGTTAACAGCTCTGATAGTGCCGTGTCCTGTAGTTGAAGGAAGAAAAAGAGGAAGAACCCTCAATAGGATCTTACAGTTAATTGTATACAGAGACAATGAAAGGTTTCTAGGTTATTTGAAATTTAAAAGAAACAATTCTGGGATATCTGAAGACAATGCATATAAATGTAAGAGGGTTAGAGTTCCTTTTGAAATATGGTGAATAGCAATGATTCGAAATGTTACTTAAAGAAGTTACACAATTGCTTAGGAAACTGACGGTTTAAATCAGTATTAGCTTCTGGGATATCTGAAGACAATGCATATAAATGTAAGAGGGTTAGAGTTCCTTTTGAAATATGGTGAATAGCAATGATTCGAAATGTTACTTAAAGAAGTTACACAATTGCTTAGGAAACTGACGGTTTAAATCAGTATTAGCTTTCGTATCACATGTGGGCTTGAAGAGCTTAACAATATCCACAACCATCGACATTAACTGTCATTCTGAATTTGAAAAATTATACATGTTATGACATCTAACATGTCTAAGTTGGGAATATACAAGTAAGTACTATTATTATAAAAGAGTAGTTTGTTTCAAATTTCCAGTTTATTTCCAGATTAATTACAAAATTCAAAGAGCAAAACATCTGATTCGATTAAAAATAGTGTTTTTTTTAGAAAACAATCATTGTCAGAAGAAATGACAGCAAATACATGTATACCTAGTAAAAACGAATAAGGCTTTTGAAAAAAAAATTATATATTGTGTTCCAGAATGACTGCATTTTATATTATTAATGAATTATCCCTAAAACGTTAGAAATCATTTCATCATACATGAATTTGCAAATTTTACCCTCTAAAGAGCTAATTGTTTTCAAGAAAGACACAGTCATATTATACTCTAAAATAGTTTGAAGAATTGGAAAATCAATACAAAAACAAAAATCATGATTCTTGTAAATTAAAGTGAGAGGTAAAATATTTTTTCACACCGGTTGACGTAAATCTTTCTAAACGTTTTACATTTTAAATGTTTTTTTTTTCTACAACCATGGACTTTTTATGCTCGTCTTAGCATCATTCTAGTTTGTGTCAACGACACCGTCCATCTCTTGAAAAAGTACCAGCTTATCCCTTCTCCGTGATTGTTATTACCGTATTCACCGTTAAGGTTTGACCGGTGCCCGTCGTTGTACCACCAGGCACCCCGCCACTCCTCAGCATGGTTTTTAGTGCTTTCAATATCATTATCATTATCAAATGTAGAAAACTGCGCATCATTGTTGCAGTAACTTGTTCTACACGAAATCCCGTCTCCTGTAAACAGATCAAATGTTCTTGTAAAGACCTTTTAAAAATGTATTACCTACAAATATAGCATATTTTAAAACACTCCTCGGCTTTTTAAATACGATTGCAGAATTAATTTGAATTCCAAATAAAAAACTTAAAATTAAATTGGCAAGCGTACCAGCTGTTCCACTGTACCCAGACACATGGATTCGATACTTGTCCTCCTCCCCCGCTATGTAGAAACTACTGTACTCAGCGTACACCGACTCTGTACCGTATTCCAATTCCACACGTAAAACTGTATATCCATTGGTGACCAACAAACGGATGTTGTCAAGTCCTTAAAAACGCAAAACACACATACGAAAAATATTGATCTTGAAATATTCTAAACATATATCTGACATGTACAAAATGACTGTATGATTTTTTTGAGATATAAATTTGAGTTCTTGCTTATTTTGCTCTATGTGAAAAAGTTCTATGAAGAGAAATATATCATATATTCTCTCATATATTTAACCGCTAAATCAGTAAATAATATCAATTGAAATATATAGAATAAAATATTAAAAGTGAAATAAAAATAAAGTATCTATTTTGTTAAAGTATGGGGTTTTCATTTGCACGAAAAAGTTTTGTATTGCCTTTATATTCTTTTACAGAATTTTGATTAATCATAACTCACCAATCCAGAACTCAGAGTGGAGGTCACCAAATCCGTTTTTGTATTCTGTCCATCCTCTGTAAAAGTTGACAGAGCCATCGACTCGTCTTTGTATCATCTAAACAAAACGAACAAAAAATAAGGATATTCAGGAAATGCCAGACTTTTTAAAAACACATTAGTATTATCTTATTTCAGCAAACATGTGCCGACTTTGCGGTTTCAATATAAAGTTAGACAGTATTAAAGAAAGAATCATTTTGCAAAAATGAAAACCATATGACCAAACAATTTTAATAATATGAAAGTTTCAGTAATTCTTAATTAATTCTTTTTTTAAGACAGGCATCTTTTAAGTTTGAACAGCAGCAGCAGCAGTTTTTCATTTTACTTCATTTGCATATTTTCTACAAAGTCACAATATTTTCAGTCAACATTCTTATTTTGTCTCTGATGTTCTTTATGACATATATTTGAACATTTTTAATGAAAGTTCGTTTCCTAGAAAGATTGTTGTCATATTATTTGACTTTTTCAAAATTATATGCGCTAATATTGATGACTTTGGAGATTTTCTGTTTGTATTGTTTAGTTTATAATAATCTATAGATCTATTACTGAAGACAAAAATCTCACAAACTAATTTTTTAAAACATAATCAATGCTTTGACATCATTTACATTGCTTATATCACAATTATATTGCTAGAAAATGGGCTTTAAAATACAGTTATAATTTATTTTATGAATACTTTATTATTGTGCAAAAATATAGACATCAAAAGTCGGGACATGTGTGTTGAAACACCCTGTACAATGCCAATGCAATCAAACAAAAGTCCTTTTAAGAACTATATTGATTACTTGAACTTTTGATGTTTGTACATTTACCGTCCAAATATGGCCGGCTGTATTCATACAATTGGCGGGAAAATGGTGGCCGTCAATCTTCACTGTTTTAGTAAAAAAATCACCCACAGCGGGCATGACAGCCCCACAGTCACGTTCTAAAAATAAAGTATGCTTATAATGAAAGAGGAAGGTACAGTTTGAGCTTTTTTGTGCCCTAATTTAATGTTCTTAAAAAATTATGAAATTGGCTTATACAATAGTTGAGTAGATGAATATGTCTGTAAGGAGGACCGACCTGGAAGAGTATGACGTCATGAGACCATTGGACTTTGGCGTCTGTAACGACAGAGAGTCATTGGGGTTTGGGGCAGACCATCGGGGTTTCGCGAGACCATCGGACTTTGGCGTCACCATCAGACTTAAGAGTCTTACAGATATATTATGTAAACTGCTATGAAAAATCACATATCTCAGAATCTTTCTGAGCAACGATGGCAGAGTATGTTTTAAGAAAGAAAATTCCACAGAAAATTGATGTTTTCTGCAACTTTTTAAGAAAATAAGGGAAAATGACGTTACAATTACCATTTCGGAGGTCATATGAGAAAAACGAATTGTATATTCTTACTGCAGGGAATTCTTATGATTCAGAAAGAATGAATTTTGATTTCTTATATCACTCTCATATTTCAGAAAAATGTAGGGCTCAATTTGTGTTAAAACTGCACCCTGTTCTTTGGGAACATGTTTCAAGGTATATATTTACTCAGATGACAGAAAAATTCCACTGATTAGAACGAAAAAATACCTGCTGCACATTGAAAACCTATAATATTTGAGTTTGAATTCAATTTCAAATAAGTATTTCAATGACCTACTTTTCATGCTAGTGGCCCATTAGTAATTAGTATTTCTTGAAAAATACCCTTTTTCACACTACGACCAGTTTTTCCTTTGCACACAAAATATTACAAGCAACAAAACTCTTTAACAAATGAAATAGTATCAAAATGGAACAGTGTTGCTTAATAAAAGATAAGCGATTAGAGTTTGGGCCACAAACTTATTAATACTATCCGAATTTCCTTTGTCTTATTTCTATTTTTTCTCCATTGTTAATCGAAAATATTAAAAGTCTGAAAGATTATAATTCTATATATTTATTGCCTCAGTTTACTTTTTTTTGCCCTTTTTCTAATGGTATTAATGTTATATATAGTTTAATGATCATACTTTCGAGATACATTGTCTGATATGGTTTTTTGTTCATATTCTTTGAATTATTTACGTTATAGCATTGAATTATTTAAAATAATTCATATGTTTAAAATCTATACAATATTTGCAAAATAAGGTTTTTAAATTGGACTTTTAAATTGTAATTGATATTGCAAACAATGATTTATTTTGACAAAAATGAAAAATGAAAAAGTATTTCGAATTTCCTCTGCAACATCATCTATAGCTACAGAACTGTAACTCTCTGCTGGAGAAAATTCGGACAGATAAAGCAGAGAGCTAAAGCGTTGTAAAAACATTCGATTTACGCCGACGATTCTTTGTCGCTACTCTAGGTATTTATTTTGTGTAGTTTTAATTATCTCTGGCTTTTAGAATTCTGTCCTATAATAAATTATATCTTAATTGTAATTTTTGATCTTTTATTAAAGTTTATTCATCCTTGAATGGTCCGAAACAGTCATGTATATAGTTTTGTAATGTATGTTTAAAAAGGTTCCTTTTTGACGTCCGTAACCACAAACAGCTATTTCTTAGCGTTGAAAGGTAAGAAAATTAGCAGGAATTGAAGTTAAATGTATGATTAACTATGAAATACCGTTTTAAAGTTGGGGAAAGTAAAAAATACAAGTAAAAATACCCTAAGTGAGCGACAAAAAATCGTCGGGGTAAATCGAGGGCTTTTTACAACGTTTGGATTTGTAGCTCTCTCCTATATCTGTCTGATTTTCTCAAGCAGAGGGCTACAGTTCTGCAGCTACCCATCTATTGATTTTTCTTCCTGTATGTTTCTTAAAAAAAATAAAATATTAATTTTTAGAGTTGGTCTTGAGTCAAAACTTCATTATTTTATCCATTTAAAACCATTTCTGATTTAATATATTATATAAAATTTCATGTCTGACAAAAGACGAAAGACCACCTTTAAGCAATCGCTTAATGGTAGCTTAATGGTGACTTAATGGTGGCTTAAAGAAGTTAATTCCTTTAAGCCACCATTAAGCCACCATTAAGCTGCAACTTACAGGTGCTTAATGTCCAAACTTCATTAAGCTACCATTAAGCCATCATTAAGCTGAGCTTAATGGTGACTTAATGGTCAACCCTCTTTAAACTTTTACGCATCTTATATAGAATCTTTGAACTAACTTTTAATTATTTTAATATCATATACGCAAAATCTATTCCAACTCATAATTCTGTCTCGATCATAATATCTACGAGTTTTTTGTCAACATGCATAAACTTGATCACTGGGAACAAAGTTAGCTAATAGCCACAAGGGCTTGCTCGAAGTGTCTAATTTTTTCTTAAAATCATTTACAGTGATAATAAAACAAGACATCCTGTATGAGAACCGTATATTATTTTTTTAAAATAAATCATTATTACATGCGTTGTTTTTATTATTAGTGTATATGATTTTTAAAAATAAAAATTATTACACACCGTGAGCAAGTCCTTGTGAAATATCTTAAATTTACAATACCAAAAATCACTTTGTTCTTAAAATTATCTATATTCATGAACACAAAATATATATTACTTTTTAAAAACAAAATGGTATTTCTATTTCATGTGTTAAAAGAAACATTCCGCTACAGAATTCATAGGAAGATATAATCTCATGAAAAAAATCTCTGTCCTTATTTTTTTTTGGGGGGGGGGGGGGCTACTGGTATACAAATGTTTAGTTATCAAAGATTGACTTTTACCATGAAAAACTTTTTTATGGCTTGTACATCATGAATAATTCTAATTAATTCGTTATTTTTTTTTAATAATGCAGCGGTAAGTATCTGTCAAAATCTAGTCGGTCTTCAATGATTGTTATTTCAAAATGGTACTTAATAGTGACTTCAACCATTTAACCAAAGTTGTGGGTCCTTTAAGGACCTTAAAAAGTAATTTCGCTGGATATGTGCGCTTTTATTTCGTACGGTAGATAACTCTATATCTGCCATGTTTTTCTATCTTGATTTGTGTCAAGAAGAGTTATGCCTCTTTGTTTTCATTTTGACGACAGTTTTGTGTATTGAAGTATTTTCTAGAATATGTAATACATCATGATTATTTGCGAGGATGTGTTATCATGTGTAATTTACTTGAAATATTTTGTATTTATAGGATTTTCTCTTTGTATTTTTTGTAGTGAATCGTCAATGTAATAGTCATCGTTATTTCCACGTCTACTTCTACGTAAAGTCACATTTCCACGTCATTGTCATCGTCAATGTCAACGCCATATATCACCATCCTTATTAATAAAATCATTGGACGCATTTACAACGTTGTTTCCTTAATTTCCTGTCCCGAGTCAGTAAAAGGCAAATGGGCGGGCAGACTCAGAGAAAACGATTTTACACATGTACCGATAGGGAACTAAAAAAGTCAGGTTCATGAGTATTAATAAATCGAAAAACCATGTCTCTGGTCTCTCTCATAAGAGAAAGACTCTGCCTGCGAAGACATGAAGAAAAAAAATCAATGTTCACAAGGACGCACACCTCTTGCGATAAAATGGACATTTCAAGAGACATTTATCTATATCTATAATTGTCTTCCTTGTATAAAAGAACGTTACATAGGCAATTTAGCCACATATGATCCACATATGCATTGCCTTTCATATGAAGATCATATGTGGATCATATGAGAATCATATGTATATACAATCATATGAGAATCATATGTGGCCAATCATATGAGAATCATATGATCATACATATGTGAATCATATGAAGTAATATACATATGATTCTCATATGAAAGATCCTGCATATGAGAATCATATGAATATTCTGACAATAATCATATGAGAATCATATGAAACTGAACATATGAGAATCATATGAAACAATGTTCACTAATTTGTCCTTGTTATACTCAGGTAAAATTCATACGAATGTTTTGACTGTGATCATATGAGAATCATATGAAACAGTGTTCACTTATCTTTCCTTGTTATACTGAAGTAAAATTGCAATTTCAATTATATATATCAAAAGATGAATTTAAATGTATATTA